TTCACTGGAAATGTGTTCATGGTCGGAGATGCATTGGGCTCTATGATATAGAGTCTTGATGAGGGAATTCTTCTGGGATGGATGGTGGTGGGAATCCGGTTTTAGATAAGCATCCGTGTGGGTGGCTTTCCTGTAGACAGAGTGGCTCATTGAACCATCAGGTCTCCTTTTGATTAGGACATCCAAAAAGGGTAGCTTGCCATCATTTTCGACCTCATTCTTCACCTGAAGACGGCTGCTTGCGTTGTAGCCGAAACGTCGTGAGAATTGTTTTATTATGTTTTATTTTTATTATTTTATTACTTCCCTTCTACGTGACTTTACCGAAAGAAACAAGAAGATGAATCCCTGCAGTCACGAAAGCTTTAAATCGAAATTTAACCGCCTCTACGGGGAGGGTTTCCACATAACTTTGAGATCCTTCAACAAGCTCCGGGATAAGAAGGCTCAGCTAATCGAGTCTCTCACCTTTCTGAAGAGATGCCGCGACTCTAAGGTAATACCAAACGCATTTACACTAACATCTGCTGCTGTAACTTCTTCTAATGCGAAACGAATTCTGTCTAGAACTAGCTTAGCTCTTATCTCAGAGAAAATCAGACTTACGCGCACCGAACTAGATCAGTTAGACAAGACACTCTACAAATCACACTTATCTTTGAGTGTAACAATGTCCACATCGGATTGGGAACATGTGGAAAAAATGACTGCCTCTTCAGCTGCCGCTATGTCGACTAAATGTAAGGACAACTTGATTTCCAAATTCAATCGCCTCTCAAACAAGAAACCGGACCCACACATTGAAAAGCTAGATATTAACAAAGTCGTAATTAATCGCAGTAACAGTCCTATTTCTGAAGGTTTGAAATCCGTTTTAGCTAAAGGACTAAACTTTGCAGTCACACCTAGACACATACCAGTTAATGATATAATTGCTCGAGTAGATGTAGCTCTCAAGGGCTTGAGTCACATCGCTGCAGACGTAGCAAGATCTGAAATCTCTGTAACCCTCAAAAACGCTAAGATGCCAGCTAGCAACATCAGCAAAGAGGAGCGTTTTGAATTAGCTCAATTAAAAAAGAGGGATGACATTGTCATCCTCTCAGCCGACAAAGGCAATGCCACTGTCATCATGGACAAAATAGAATACAACAACAAAATTCAAGAACTATTAAACGATGGCAGCTATACAAAAATAAAAAGAGACCCCACCAACAGCCTCGTCTCCAAAACCAACAACATCATTTCTGCTTCAACCGCATTAATTGATCAGACCAAACAGTTCTCGTTGAAACCTTCTGCAGCCAGACCACCAAGATTGTACGGCTTGCCAAAGATACATAAAGAAGATACACCTCTTCGTCCCATTGTCTCTACTATCAACTCCCCCACTTACAAACTGGCTCGTTTTTTGTCCGAAATCCTACGGCCTTTCACTGGAAAAACCACCTCTGCAGTACTAAACTCTACTGACCTGGTATCGACAATCAAGGGGATTGCCCTGTCCCCAGACGACCTGCTTGTCAGTTTTGATGTGGTTTCCTTGTTCACCAAGGTACCTGTGCCTGACACCATCGCAATCATTGAAGACTTGGTTCATCAAGGACTGAATGCTGGGGTACCCCCCCTGGTGAGACACTGCTTAACCAATACATACTTCACCTGGAATGGAACCTTCTACAAGCAAATTGAGGGCACCCCAATGGGCTCCCCCCTATCTCCGGTTGTAGCCAACATCTTCATGGAGAAATTTGAGACGGACGCTATCCAGACTGCCACTCTACGCCCGACCTTATGGAAGAGGTACGTAGACGACACTTTTGTCATCTGGCCACATGGCCGGCCTGCTCTAGACCAATTTCTCGACCACATCAATTCCATACACCCAGCCATCAGATTCACCATGGAAGTCGAAAATGATGGCAAGCTACCCTTTTTGGATGTCCTAATCAAAAGGAGACCTGATGGTTCAATGAGCCACTCTGTCTACAGGAAAGCCACCCACACGGATGCTTATCTAAAACCGGATTCCCACCACCATCCATCCCAGAAGAATTCCCTCATCAAGACTCTATATCATAGAGCCCAATGCATCTCCGACCATGAACACATTTCCAGTGAACTCAAACACGTACGCCAAGCTCTTAAGGCAAATGGTTACTCCGACTATACAATCCGCAAAGCCATCACTCCAACCATCAAGAAGGATCCTGTTGAGGAGCCTTTCAAGACCATCACCTTACCCTACATTGCTGGGGTCACAAAAAAGATCTCCAAAATCCTGATTAAACACAAGATCCAGGTCCGATTCAACACAGTACATAAAATCCGTGATCTGGTACCGTCTGTAAAAGATGTGGTTCCAGACATACAGTACCCTGGCGTCTACAAACTAAGTTGCCTCTGTGGTAGCAGTTACATTGGGGAAACCAAACGACATGTCTCGGACCGCATCCGTGAACATAAAGCTGACCTGAAACACGGTAGGACAAACACCTCAGCCGTGGCAGATCACTGTTACAACTCAGTGGGCTCACATGATATTGACTTCTCCAAGACAGAGGTTCTCTGCAAGCCATCTGGCTATCATGAGAGATTCGTTCATGAGGCGATCCACATATACAAACACAGAGACAATTTTAACCGAGAAGATGGATTCTGGCTCAGCAATCATTGGAAGGACGTAATAAACCATTTCGACACACATTAGGGTGTGTAGAATAATACATAGTGTTATATTAAATGTATAAGATATAGGTTGGTTTACAGCAATACAGTATATAATTTAATGTTGGGTTTATCTATGGCAGTATATAGTACGGTATATGCTCGTGTGATGTAAGAGAATAAGGTCTAGATGGAAGCATATTATAGAATTTTTACGAGGTAGAATGGTAATGTATTACTTGCTGTTAGTAACTCAGCTTATTATAGAGTATAGTAAGTATACTGATGGTGCGATGCAGTTTATACTTTAGTTTTTTTTTTTTATGTAGTTTATACTTTAGTTTTCTACGTGGTTGTTGAGTAACTGCAGCTACATATCATTAACATTCCTTCCCTTTGTTACTGCTAATCCCTGCACCCCCCTTGGTTGCTGCTGATCCTGCATAATGCATGGGCATAATATGACTTTGACACCCCCCCGCCCAACGCCTACGCATTTTCCATGAATATGCTAAATTCCTCTTCACATGCACATTCTTTTTGTTAAGGCGCTCTTCAACCCCCAATGCAGCTTATATATAAGCTCCTAGTTTGGTAGTGTCTCATTCTTCACCTGAAGACGGCTGCTTGCGTTGTAGCCGAAACGTCGTGAGAATTGTTTTATTATGTTTTATTTTATTATTTTATTACTTCCCTTCTACGTGACTTTACCGAAAGAAACAAGAAGATGAATCCCTGCAGTCACGAAAGCTTTAAATCGAAATATGTAGCTCTTATTCAGAAGCAACCTGGCCACAAATTGTAGCTCAACGAAGTGGCTTATCCTCATGTGGACATTTATAGCAGTCAAATAACTCTCTAAACGCGTGACCTTGATTCTAAATGTGGAGGGGAAAAACCGGAAGACCCGGAGAAAAATCCACGCGACCACGGGGAGAGAGACACGCAAACTCCAAATACAGCAGCAGGCGTCAGGGTCGGGATCGAACCCACGACCTCCTGTATACCAGGTCAAGTAGTTAACATCTCCTAGCCACCGTGATGATGATGATGAGAGAGACACGCAAACTCCAAATATACAGCAGGCGTCAGGGTCGGGATCGAACCCACGACCTCCTGTATACCAGGTCAAGTAGGTAACATCTCATAGCCACCGTGATGATGATGATGAGAGAGACAGCAAACTCCAAATATACAACAGGCGTCAGGGTCGGGATCGAACCCACGACCTCCTGTATACCAGGTGACGTAGTTAATCCAAATATACAACAGGCGTCAGGGTCGGGATCGAACCCACGACCTTCTGTATACCAAGCGAGGTAGTTAACATCTCGCTGCCCGACTTGAACCGTGAACAAGCGGGCAGTAAGCAAGGAGCGGTGGCCAACCTGTAACAGACCGGGAGCCGACAAGTACCCGTGGATTCTGCAAGTAGCCAAGTGTATAAATATATGTGTGTGTTTATATATAGTAAAAGTTTTCGGCACAGGACAGGACACGTTCATTCTTAAATTTCGATTTAAAGCTTTCGTGACTGCAGGGATTCATCTTCTTGGTTCTTTCGGTAAAGTCACGTAGAATGGAAATAATAAATAATAAAATAAAACAATAATATAATTCTCACGACGTTTCGGCCACAACGCAAGCAGCCGCCGTCCTCAGGTAAAGAACAGGTCTGTCGATAAGACAGAGTCTGAATACAGAGTCATTCAGACTCTGTCTTATCGACAGACCTGTAGCTCAACGAATATAGAGTCATTCAGACTCTGTCTTATCGACAGACCTGTTCTTCACCTGAGGACGGCTACTTGCGTTGTGGCCGAAACGTCGTGAGAATTATTTTATTATGTTTTATTTGTATTATTTTATTATTTCCATTCTACGTGACTTTACCGAAAGAACCAAGAAGACATATTCTTAGCTGTATTCAGCTGTGACGGTTTCACCTGTAAACAGCAATCGTGCTGTGACGGTTCCACCTGAAGACGGAAGCTTGTGTTGCCTCCGAAACGTCGTGATTTTTATTTTATTTTACTTTTATTAATTTTAATGTTTTTACCTACGTGACTTTACCGAAAAAAACCTAAGAATATGAATCCTTGCAGTCACGAAAGCTTCAAATCTAGAACCAAGAAGACGTTCATTCTTCTTTGCCACCGCGATGACACGTCCTACGTTAGGCCCCCTCGACAGAGCGGCGCGTGGGCGGATGAAAGATCCGCGTGCAGCTCAAGAGACGCCGCTTGGCCACCGCTGCTCCCGTGCCGCGTCACCGCCCTGTTTGGAAAATAAAAAAACCCAAACCCTTCCCCCCCCCCTCCACACACACACACCTGGGCGTCGGCAAACTCGCAGTACTGAAGGTCGACGGTGCCGGAGAGCGTGCGGACGCATGCGTACGTGTTGTTGAACGCATCTTCGCACACGCAGTCGGGGAAGCACTCCTGCACACAGGGCGGCACCGCGTGCAAACACGCCGTTTTTATTTTGGCTCGGTAATGTGTTTTGCCAGACGTCTCGTAGAGTAGCGAGTCGCAATAAACAGTCCGTTAAAGGCTACACGGAGGGAATGAAGCTAAACTCAACTCGATTTGAAGCTTTCGTGACTGCAGGAATTACTCTTTGCTTCTATCGGTAAAGTCACGTAGAGTGTTGACTGTTGTGTTAGCCGACTCTCTGTGTTGTATTGCATTGTATTTCTAAGTTTACTAGGTTTGTTTTGTACCTGATGATGATTGCTTGTGTTGCAATCGAAACGTCGTATTCTAAAATTTAAATTATTTTCTCTTTACTGAAAGAACCAAGGAGTAAACTCAACTAGATTTGTTTTACCAGGTAAGGCCCACTGAGCTATGTAGCTCTTTTTCAGAAGCGACCTGACCATCACAAATGACAGCTCAACGAAGCGGCCTTGCACGTGGAAATGTTTAGCAGCCAAATACTTTAAACGCGTGATGTTGATTCTAAATGTGGAGGGGAAAACCAGAGGAGCCGGAGAAAAATCCAAGCGACCACGGGGAGAGAGAGACATGCAAAATACAAATACACAGCAGCAGGCATCAGCGTCGGGATGGAACCCACAACCTCCTGTATACCAGGCGAGGTAGTTAACATCTCCCAGCCACCGTGATGATGATGAGAGAGACGCAGACTCAATACACAGCAGGCATCTTCAGGGTCGGGATCGAACCCACGACCTCCTGTGCACCAGGCGAGGTAGTTAACATCTCCCAGCCACCGTGATGATGATGAGACAGACGCAGACTCAATTCACAGCAGGCATCTTCAGGGTCGGGATCGAACCCACGACCTCCTGTACACCAGGCGAGGTAGCTAACATCTCCTAGCCACCGTGATGATGATGAGACAGATGCAGACTCAATTCACAGCAGGCATCTTCAGGGTCAGGATCGAACCCACGACCTCCTGTGCACCAGGCGAGGTAGTTAACATCTCCTAGCCACCGTGATGATGATGAGACAGATGCAGACTCAATTCACAGCAGGCATCTTCAGGGTCAGGATCGAACCCACGACCTCCTGTGCACCAGGCGAGGTAGTTAACATCTCCTAGCCACCGTGATGATGATGAGACAGATGCAGACTCAATTCACAGCAGGCATCTTCAGGGTCAGGATCGAACCCACGACCTCCTGTGCACCAGGCGAGGTAGTTAACATCTCCTAGCCACCGTGGTGCCACAAAGACCCCCCCCCCCCGTGTATCCTCAACAGACTTTTGGGGCAAGCGCCGTTAGCGAGCAGCACCTCCGAAGGCCGCCCTCGACGCACGAGGAGCTGGGTGGCCGGCACCACGCCCGGCCGCCCGGCCGCCCGAGAGGCGATGTTGACGCTCATCCCTCCGCGGCGCGTCACCCACGGTAGCGGAGTGGGGGGGGGATGCGGTAGGGTGTGGGGGGGCGTGGGGGCGGTAGGGTGTGGGGGGGTGTGGGGGGGGACGGTAGGGTGTGGGGGGGGCGTGGGGGGGGGGGGCGTGGGGATGGGGGGCGTGGGGGGGGGGCGGTAGGGTGTGGGGGGGTGTGGGGGGGGACGGTAGGGTGTGGGGGGGCGTGGGGGGGGGCGGTAGGGTGTGGGGGGGCGTGGGGGGGGGCGGTAGGGTGTGGGGGGGCGTGGGGGGGGGGGGCGGTAGGGTGTGGGGGGGCGTGGGGGGGGGGGGCGGTAGGGTGTGGGGGGGCGTGGGGGGGGGGGCGGTAGGGTGTGGGGGGGCGTGGGGCGGTGTTTACCGCGACTCCTGGGCCCAGCTTGGGGCAGGCCGGGTCGGCGTCGTGTCCCTCCCCCTGGTACTCCACCAGGAAGTCCGAGCGCCACGCTGGCGCCGCCGCTGCCTTGTCCACGGGGTGCTGCAGAGTTTGCACGCAGCAGCAGCAGCGGCAGCAGTAGCAGCGGCAGCAGCGGTCGCAATGATACGTTCATAACTTGCAATGGATTCATAATTAAACAATGACCGTGTAATGATTGAGGCCTATTTACAACTCAGCAGTGATTTAGTAATAGGTTGTTACCCTTTCAACTGGTACAAAAACTGACACCTTTATACAAGGGATCATGTTTGCAATAACCACAACACAAGCAGACAAAATGCAAACAAAAACAAACAACTCTGATAATAAAATGCACTGTCCTTGAAGTTGATTGGTCCACACCCGAGACAGCTTTCCTTAGAGCCTAGTCTCCATTGGTGATGGACCAGATGACGCCAAAAGGCGTACAACTCAATAACAGCGCACTATCAGTGTATTGAGAGCTCGGGGTAAGCATTTACACTGATTATAACGATACATTTATCATGTACAGTGTAGTATTTATGTTGAACTTCTTTCGCACCGTACGTAGCCAACCGCGCTAATCGGAGGTGCGGAAGAAATTTTTGATTAAATAATTATCGTATAATGATTGAGCAGTGTTTTGAGACCTCACTTATAATAATGATATGATAATTGTATTATATGTGTCCAATTAAGTCCCTTTCACTATTTAAGTCCCATTTAAAACATTTCTTCGTTGACCTCAGAACTTTAATTGCTTGAGCGTGGTTTGGCTGTGCCACGTGGTTTGGGTGTGCCACGTGGTTTGACTGTGCCACGTGGTTTGGGTGTGCTACGTGGTTTGACTGTGCCACGTGGTTTGGGTGTGCCACGTGGTTTGACTGTGCCACGTGGTTTGGGTGTGCCACGTGGTTTGGCTGTGCCACGTGGTTTGACTGTGCCACGTGGTTTGGGTGTGCCACGTGGTTTGGCTGTGCCACGTGGTTTGGGTGTGCCACGTGGTTTGGCTGTGCCACGTGGTTTGGGTGTGCCACGTGGTTTGACTGTGAAACGTGGTTTGGGTGTGCCACGTGGTTTGGCTGTGCCACGTGGTTTGGGTGTGCCACGTGGTTTGGCTGTGCCACAAGGTTTGGGTGTGCCACGTGGTTTGACTGTGCCACGTGGTTTGGGTGTGCCACGTGGTTTGACTGTGCCACGTGGTTTGGCTGTGCCACGTGGTTTGGGTGTGCCACGTGGTTTGACTGTGCCACGTGGTTTGGCTGTGCCACGTGGTTTGACTGTACCACGCGGCTTCTGTGTCTTGCCAGGTGCGATGTCCTTGCTTTATTCTGTTGCTTTTCTATCTTCTACAGCGATGTGAGATGCAGTTTTGCACGAACGACGCAACGGACCTCACAGCACCTTGGTGATAAATTACACTTCCTGGGTCGGCAGGGAACGCCGGCGTTTAAACTAAAACTCACTTATTTTTTTTTACTATTTATATTTTCCCAGGTAAGGCCGCACTGACCTGTGTAGCTCTTTTTCAGAAGCGACCTGGCGATCACAAATGATAGCGCAGCAAAGTGGGCTCATCATCATCACGTGGAAATCTAGAGTAGTCAAATAGTCTGAATGCACTTTTTAAAATGTGGAGGAAAAAGACCCAGAGACAAATCCACGCGACCACGGGGAGAGAGACACGCGCAGACTCCAAATATACAGCAGCAGGCGTCAGGGTCGGGGTCGAACCCACGACCTCCTGTAGACCAGGCGAGGTAGTTAACATTTCCTAGCCACCGTAATGATGATGAGAGAGAGACACACATACTCCAAATATAGGCAGGCGTCAGGGTCGGGATGGAACCCACGACCTCCTGTATACCAGGCGAGGTAGTTAACATTTCCTAGCCACCGTGATGATGATGAGAGACACACATACTCCAAATGTAGGCAGGCGTCAGGGTCGGGATGGAACCCACGACCTCCTGTGTACCAGGCGATGTAGTTAACATCTCCTAGCCACCGTGATGATGATGAGAGACACACGCAGACTCCAAATATACAGCAGCAGGCGTCAGGGTCGGGGTCGAACCCACGACCTCCTGTGTACCAGGCGAGGTAGTTAACATCTCCTAGCCACCGTGATGATGATGAGAGAGACACACATACTCCAAATATACAGCAGCAGGCGTCAGGGTCGGGATCGAACCCACGACCTCCTATAGACCAGGCGAGGTAGTTAACATCTCCTAGCCACCGTGATGATGATGAGAGAGAGACACGCAAACTCCAAATATACAGCAGCAGGCGTCAGGGTCGGGATCGAACCCACGACCTCCTGTGTACCAGGCGAGGTAGTTAACATCTCCTAGCCACCGTGATGATGATGATGATGATGAGAGACACACATATTCAAAATATACAGCAGCAGGCGTCAGGGTCTGGATCGAAACCACGACCTCCTGTAGACCAGGCGAGGTAGTTCACATCTCGTCCGCGCCCTCCCGCCGTCGCTCACCAGCAGAGGCACCATGGACATGCCGTCCATCCGCGTCTGGGAGACGTTCACTCCGGCCAGCTCCAGGAAGGTAGGCCCCAGGTCGATGTTCATGACGGGAGCCTGCGGAGGTGCAACCCAGAGTCAGGTCAGGTTTCAACTACAACTATGAGCACGGAAATATTTATTTTTAACATCTCCACCACGTAAGGCACTCCGAGGCGCTTATTTAACGCCGGGACAGCCTCGGGGAGGCCCAGGACCGGTTCGAATATTCGCCGCCGCGAACTCGCGTTGCCGGGTTCAAAGCGCAGTTCGCTCACCGCTGCGCCACCGCTCAGGTTTTGTATGTATGTAAGGGGACTACTTGAGTCGGGACTACTTGCGTAGGGACTACTCACGTAGGGACTACTCACGTAGGGACTACTTTGTAGGGGGCTACTTGCGTGGTAATAATTGGCCAGTAGCGGCTCGCAATCGGAGGGGGGGCTGCGAGGTCTAAATCCTGGTTGGCCGTTGACTCAGCCCATCAGCCCTCCGCAGTGTCGGTAAAATGAGGACCATTTTCTGTTTTTACACTCAAATCTTGTAACTCAATTTTAACCCACTTCCCAATGTGGTATCGACTGCAAACTTGGTATACTTATGTCACACTGATGACAATACTATATTCTATCATAAAAAATAAAACAAATATTTGTAAACATTCTTTTTAATATGTTATGTTTCGGCTTGGGTGTAATTGTCCACGCTCAACTTACGTTGGCTGTAAATCACCACTGTCCCTGATGTTACGGCAAACTTCGGGGCCACTTCCTGGAGTCGTGGAGTGTTGCCATTACGAGTACGGTACATTTCATTAAAGCGTGTTTTAAATATTACTTATTTGTGTTTAGTTTGTTGTCCTTTCCCCCGCGCCTCCAATTAGCACGGTTGGTTACGTATGGTGAGAAAGAAGCTTAACGTACGCACGTAAATACACTCTCGCCCCTGCCATAGCTCACCATCATGCTTATCATCATCACCATCATCCCTCCAGGGGGTCGGTTAAAATAAGCACCACCTTGTGGGGAAAGCCAAGAGTGGCTTATCCTGTGGAGGTGTCGAGGTGGTGAGATGTCAACTACCTCGCCTGCAATGTAGGAACCTGTGGGTTCGATCCCGACCCTGACGCCTGCTGTTGTATATTTGGAGTTTGCGTGTCTCTCTCACTCATCATCATCATCACGGTGGCTAGGAGATGTTAACTACCTCGCCTGGTATACAGGAGGTCGTGGGTTCGATCCAGACCCTGACGCCTGCTGCTGTGTACTTGGAGTCTGCGTGTCTCTCTCTCCCCGCGGTCGCGTGGATTTCTCTCTGGGTCTTCCGGTTGTTCCCTCCACATTTAGAATCAACGTCACGCGTTTTTGAGTATTTGGCTGCTAGACATTTCCACGTGACGAGCCACTTCTCGTTGAGCTATCATTTGTGAGCAGGTCGTTTGTAAATAAAATAAAAAATATTGTTTACATATTCTTGGTTCTTTCGGTAAAGTCACATAGAAGGGAAATAATAAAATAAAATAAATATAAAACAATAAAAATCACGATGTTTCGACTGCAACACAAGCAATCATCATCAGGTGTGAAATCCATAGAAAATTTTAAATGTTCTTGCTGTGGATTTCACACCTGATGATGATTGCTCGTGTTGCAGTCGAAACGTCGTGAGCATTTTTATATTTAATATTTATATCATTTTATTATTTCCCTTGTACGTGACTTTCCCGAAAGAACCGAGAATATGAATCCCTGCAGTCACGAAAGCTTTAAATCAAAATAGTTTACGTCGAGTTTTGTCTCGCTCACCCCTGCCACAACAATGTGGAATATCCGCCAGCGGCTCGGCGCTGTAAAGAGGACGCAGGAATGAGCACACCGCTCCCCCCGCCCCCCCACCTTTTGACCCCGAGCGTCGCTCACCCGCAGGATCTGCTTGGCCTTGATTCCCGGCCCGCGCACAAGCATGGGCACGCGGATGTCGAACTCGTACAGCTGCCGCTTGTCGTTGGGCAGCGAGAATTGCCCTGGGGGGGGGGGGGGGGGTGGGGGGGGGGGTGGTTAGTCGATCACAGTGGCGTGGGTGCCACTCCGGCAAACTCGCTAAGTAACTGCAAGCGAAACAAAAACGAATTCAGCAGACGCTCCGCACGCGTGACGTCATTCGTTCGCGCTCGCTGGTTACCCTCGGAGACCGCATTGTGAACGACCGGTGACTTTAGAAAGGTCTCTCATATCGTTGGAGGCCACCGGATGGATTTACATTTTACACGTGCTTGTTCACCAACGACTCTCACGTACGATATGATGTCACACATTTATACTGGTAGGAACCGGCGCATTGCATTTGTCGGAGACAAGCGAGGGGGGGAGGGAGGGCTCTCGTGAGTGACCCCCCCCCCCCCACCTGCGTGACCCCCTCCCCCACCTTAGTGACCCCCCTCCCCCACCTGAGTGACCCCCTCCCCACGTGAGTGACCCCCCCCCACCTGAGTGGTAGCCGTTGTCAGAGGAGAAGAAGATGTAGGTGGAGTTGAGGAGGTTGAGCGACGACAGCTTCTTCACGAGCCGCTCCACGAGCTCATCGACGGACAGCAGGGTCTGCCACCTGCGGTCGCGGCGGCGGCGGCGGCACGACGAGATTAGGGGGGAGGTCACAGAGGCTGGGTTCCAACCCGGGTGTCCGGGATCGATTGGTCTCGGCCGGACCGCCCACCCACCCCGCGCTGAGAGCTTCGCTCGCGACGAAAAACGATCGCCGCTGTGACATCTTGCTCTCAATCCACCGCGGGATGAAGGCCAACGCCGCCTTGCGACGGCTCTCATTTATTTTTACTCGTCCAGGCGAAAACCTCCGTCGCTCCATCTCTACGGTGCGCGTCCTCTGGGCCGTGCGTCCCCTGCTTGTGGCTGACAGTTTTGTCCGAGAGCGGCCCTGGTAATTCGAGGTTCCTCTGGTAGGGGACCGGACTCTCTTCACCTCGACGACCGCTGGCGACTTCGCGGACAAAGTGTGACTCGTTTAATCTCGATTTGAAGCTTTCGTGACTGCAGGGATACATACTCTTTGGTTCTTTCGGTAAAGTCACGTGGGTAGAGAAATCAAATAAATCACGACGTTTCGATCGCAACACAAGCAATCATCATCAGGTGGGAAACCACAGCAAGAAAAAAAAATTTGAGCAAAAATGTTTTCTTGCAGTGGTTTTTCACCTGATGATGATTGCTTGTGTTGCGATCGAAACGTCTTGAGAATTTTATTTTGTACCCACGTGACTTTGCCGAAAGAACCAAAGAGTTTGGGACTCGTTTTCTTGACCCCCCCCGCCCCTCGAAGGGGATTGTGATTTGCGATGACCTGCCTGCTCCCCACTCTCCCCCAAGCGTGATTTGAACCGGAACCTTCTGCCCTCGGGTCTGACCACAGGACAGTGGTGACTCGGCCAGAGGTCAAGAGCAGCGTCAGCAACGTTTATACACATGATCATTATGCATAGTCAAATAATAAATACATTTTAACACTATTATCTCATAAAAACACAAAATACTAAAACTAAACTATTTTTTTATTTTACCAGGTAAGGCCTACTGAGCTGTGTATCTCTAATCTAGAAGCGACCTGGCAATCACTAATGACAGTTCAACGAAATGGCTTATCATCATCATCATCACGTGGAAATTTATAGCAGCCAAATACTCTAAAAGCACGTTGTTCAATTCTAAACGTGGAGGGGAAAAACCGGAGGACCCGGAGAAAAATCCACGCGACCACGGGGGGAGAGAGAGACACGCAAACTCCAAGTATACAGCAGAAGGCATCAGGGTCGGGATCGAACCCACGACCTCCTGCACACCAGGCGAGGTAGTCAACATTTCCTAGCCACCGTGATGATGATGAGAGAGAGAGACACGCAGACTCCAAGTATACAGCAGCAGGCGTCAGGGTCGGGATCGAACCCACGACCTCCTGCACACCAGGCGAGGTAGTTAACATCTCACCACCACACTTGGGCCCACGGTCCAAAGGAGCCCATTTCAATCTCTGCCCCCCAGGGTCTCAGGCATCATCCATTCTCAGACCAGAACAGACGTTAGAGCACTTGCCCAGGCAGAGGAGGAACGCGAAACGCCACCACCCACCTCTTCCTGAAGGCGTTGTCCAGGAAGTTGATGGAGTCATTGGACATCGGCGTTTTGGCCTGCTGGATCAGCCAGTGCTTGTCCTGGAATAAGACGAGTTTGTAAAAAGTCATGCAAAGACAAAGATCCCCCATGTAGCCTTAACAGGCTGTTGGGACAAGTCCTGTTAGAACAGGGGTGAGGAACGTCCGGCCCGCGGGCCGTATCAGGCCCGCGAAATCATTTGGTGTGGCCCTGCCAAGGCAAGCGCAGGCGGGACTCGAAATTCAATAAGTCTCGGAGCAAACCTGGAAAAGCAGTTGCGAGTAGCAACATCATCACACCAACTAACATCACACGCCTCGCCAAAGAGAAGCAGTTCCAGCCATCGCATTAGGGGTGAGTTAATTAAATATTTGACCAAATATAACGGGCTAATTTTTAAGTTGATAATTTTGTATGGCCCGCTAATGATGTTATAGATATCCAAATGGCCCTTGGCAGATAAAAGGTTCCCCACCCCTGCGTTAGACAATAGCACCTATGAAGACCGGCACGGCACACTCGGGGGTGGGTGGCCAGCACCACGCCCCTTCTCTCCCCAGTGGCGATGTTTACCCACACACACACACCCACACACACACTCTCACACACACACACACACCACACCCACAAACCCACACTCACACACACACCCACACACACACGCCCACACACACCCACACATCCACACACACCCACACACACCCACACACACACACCCACACACACATTCTCACACTCTCACACACACACACACCCACACGCCCACACACTCTCACACACCCACACACACACACACGCCCACACACACTCACACACACTCACACACACCCACACACACACTCTCACACACACACACACCCACACACGCCCACACACACACACACTCTCACACACCCACACACCCACCCACACACACCGACACACCCACCCACACACACCCAGACACACTCACACACACACACCCACACACACACTCTCACACACCCACACCCACACACCCACACACACCCACACACACCCACACACCCACCCACACACACCCACACACACCCACACACCCACCCACACACACCCACACACACCCACACACACCCACGCACACCCACACACACACTCTCACACACACACACACCCACACCCACACACACGCGCTATGTCTAACACTTTGCCAGAGGGGCTTGGAGAGTTTTTAGCAAAGCTTGAACACTGTGCGGCGTGGGTACAAAACACGTTTCTGTTGCACTGGGATTTGCCAGGGCCACCGAAAGCTCCGAGCGTGCGTTAGCCTGCGTTTGTCTGCGTTTGTCTGCGGAGGTTTTTAGCTCGCGGTATGGAAGCTGCGGCGTGCCTGCCAGGGTAAACAGTTCGCTGTCCTTCCCCCGCATCTCCGATAAGCACGGTTGGCAAAGTATGGCACGAAAGAAGTTTATCATACGTACAATAACAATCATCAAAATTCTAATCATAAAGCTGCGGGGCACAGCAGCAGACCCTCGGCATGACGACGAGTCATTAAACTCAACACGAGGACACGGCAGCACAATACAAACCACCGCGAAATGATCAAATTCACCGAATTCGCTGCAAGTGAAATAACGTCACGTGTGTAAACAAGCCTGAGAAGCGAGGTCCCGACAAGCACTGCCTGAGCTCCACGCGGGCGCTACGGCTCGACGATAAACCCTCTCGCGCTCTGACGTCGCAACGGACCGGCGGCGACGACGACCGACGTCAAAACGCTGGTCCGGCGGCGGTCCACGGAGGGCCACTGTGGGCCACTGTGGGCCACTGTGGGCCACTGTGGGCCACCGAGGGCCACGGAGGGCCACGGTGGGCCACGGAGGGCCACAGAGGGCCACGGAGGGCCACCGAGGGCCACGGAGGGCCACGGCGGGCCACTGTGGGCCACTGTGGGCCACAGAGGGCCACGGCGGTCTACGGTGGGCCACGGTGGGCCACGGAGGGCCACGGAGGGCCACTGTGGGCCACAGAGGGCCACGGAGGGCCACGGCGGTCCACGGTGGGCCACGGAGGGCCACAGCAGTCCACGGTGGGCCGGCCGAGACCAATCTGCCTGCCACAATTGACAGATGTCGGCCTCATCCCCGGCGGCCAGATGCCCGGATTCGCTCCCCCCTCGCCATCGCCCCCCCCCCCCCCCGCACCTTGCCGTGCACGTTGAAGCTGCCGTCGCGGGGGGCCTTGGTTCCGACGAAGCTGTTTTGGAACTGGGGGGCCGCGTCCCAGGGAGAGTGGGGGGCCGACGTCGACAGCATCATGAAGAACGGCGTTGCGAGGCGGCGGCTCCAGCCGTCCAGGAAGTGCAGGGAGCGGTTCGCCTGCCGAGCAACGGAATTCGTTCGTTTGTTGTTTTACTTTTGCCAGGTAAGGCCCCACTGAGCTATGTAGCTATTTTTCAGAAGCGAGCTGGCCATCACAAATGATAGCTCAACGAAGTGGCTTATCACGTGTACATTTATAGCAGCCAAATACTCGAAATGCCCGTTGATTCTAAATGTGGAGAGAAAAACTGGAGGACCCAGAGAAAAGTCAACGCGACTACGGGAAAGAGAGAGAAAGAGCAAACTACAAATATACAACAGGTGTCAGGGTCTGGATTGAGCCCACACCATCATCAACAACAACAGGAACAACTTCAATGCGTCAACATATTTACATTTCATGGCTCATGGGAGAACGATCGTCCACGTAGAGGGGCCGCGGTTTCAGAAAGGCGCCTTGGAAACAATTAAGCGTTCCCATCGATCGATCGCGTTTATAGATCCCCAATTCACATCCACAACGGCGCCCGTGCCTGCCCAGTCGCAAAACCACCGCGCTCGTAGCGGACGCCATCGCCGCCCGCGACCGCCGGGCGGCGCCGAGTCTTACGATGAGGTCCGTCAGGTAGTCCTTGCCGTAGTCCGCTCCGTGCTCCTCCAGCTTGCCGTCGACAGACAGCGTGTAGTTGTAGTACTTGGAGTTTTGCACCTGTGGACGAGAGATCGCGCGCAAGGGACAAGCGCCGGCAAGGAAATAAGATCGGTGTCACGGGTGTCACGGCGTCACGGGGTCACGGGGTCACGACGTCACGGGGTCACGGGCGTCATGGGGTCACGGTGTCACGGGCGTCACGGGCGTCACGACGTCACGGGGTCACGGTGTCACGTCACGGGGTCACAGGCGTCACAGGCGTCACGGCATCATGGGGTCACGGGTGTCACGGCGTCACGGGCGTCACTGGTGTCACGGGGTCACGGGGTCACGACGTCATGGGCGTTGACTCGATATTCGCGACGAGGAGATTATGTTCCGGAGATGCTCGTGTGTAGCTACATTTTGTGGTTAACGGTATTGTTGGATCTACGAATATCGTACAAAGCAACGTCTGCCGACGCGCTTCTAAAGCTTCGAGAATTTCTCTCTCACCTCTCCATCTCTCTCAACTCTCATCTTCTCACTTCATCTAATCACTTCATCTCCTCACTTTCTTTCTCTCTCGATGCAGTCAGTAGTCGTGCAGTGTTCCAGACGCGCATCGCGGATAGCCAAAATCGCGGACAGAGCAAGTTTGTGCGTAACGAAGGGAACACGGTAACTGTGTTAATCCCAGGATGTGGCCCTGGACACTACCCCTCCACCCACCCCAAAACGAGACCATTGGGGACAGAGCGAAGTAAGAGCAGCAGAGAGAGACCCGCCACGATGCCCTGGGCCCCACGTCCTCTTGTGCGAGCTGGAGCCACACAACGCTGCCCTGGGCTCCAGCAAACTCGTGGCTGGCGGTGAGTTTGCTCGCTCGCTGGTTAGTGCGTTAGTTCGTTACTTCGTTTGCCAACTCGTTCGTTCATGAGTTGGCTCCTTAGTTCGCGCCAGAATCAACGAGATTACGGAGATGCGGCGTGGAAACACAAAGCCGCGAGGCTACTCCCCCACGGGATGTCGCAGCATGTACGTTTGTATGCACTGATAGTGCACTGTTTTAGAGTTGTACGCCTTTTGGCGTCATCTGGTCCAACACCAATGGAGACTAGGCTCTAAGAAAAGCTGTCTCGGGTGTGGACCAATCAACTTCAAGGACAGTGCATATCATCATTATCAGAGTTGTTTCTTTTTGTTTGCATTTTGACTGCTTGTGTTGTGGTTATTGCAAACATTATGCCTTGTATAAAGGTGTCAGTTTTTGTACCAGTTGAAAGGGTAAAAACCTATTACTATATTTTGCCACTGGTAAAGGAGATGTCTCATAGTTGTATGTTGTTGTTGCAACTTGCTTCGTACCGTACGTAGCCAACTGTGCGAACGAGAGCATGCGCCGTTTGGGTTACGAAAAAAAATTTCTCCGACTGTCGTGCCTATCAATTGCCCAAAGTGAGACCATGTCTGGTTGAACAGGTTAACAGAGAGGCGTGTAGAGACACGGCAAGCTCCGTCTGTCCGTCGGTGACTGCGGCGGAGAAGATTGCGTCCAGAGCGTGAACCGAGTGAGACAACTACACGCCACGGTGACTAGGCGATGTCCACTACCTCGCGTGGCATGCAGGTTCGTGCGCTGCGCTGTGAACCCGGCGACCTGAGTTCAATTCCCGCTTCCGATCAACATCGGTGACGATTATCTGAACCAGTCCTGGGCCTCCCCCTAGGTCGACTCAACGTCAAATGGGTACAGTGTAAACATCGCCGCTGGGGAGACAAAAGCTGCTGGACGTCATTCTTGACCCACCCACCCTCCCCTCGTGTGCCGTGCCGGCCTTCAGCACTTGCCCCGAGTCTCTGCTGACGCTACGCGGGGGACCTTCACCTTTCTTTGCTACGGCGTTAAGCCGCGCAAACTGCCGTAGGATGGTGGGCGAGGCAGAGACCATTAAGGAATGCACGGGGGTAGTAACACGTGCGGTAACACGTGTGTTCACGCGTGTGTCAACGTGTGTGTTAACGCGTGCGTTAACGCGCCTGTTAACGTGTGTTAACGCGTGTGTTAACGCGTGTGTGTTAACGCGTGTGTTAACATGTGGGTGGTAACACGTGCATCAATGCGCGTGTGGTAACGCGCGTGTTAACGTGTGTGTTCACGTGTGTATCAACGTGTGTGTTCACGTGTGTGTTAACATGTGTGTTACCGTGGGTAGTAACACGTGTGTTAATGCGTGTGTGTTAACGTGCCGACACTCACCAGGCCATTCCACACGTCCCACCCTGGAGGCACATGCGCCACTCCCCCAACAGACTTGTCACCATACTGGGGGGAGGGGGGGGCAGGAGAGGGAGGATGGGGGGGACAGGGGTTGCAACAGGGAACGGAGGGATTGTGACGAGGAGGAGACAAGCGGTGTCTCACACATGCTGCGCTGATGCAATGACCGAGATGTTAACTACCTCGGTCGGTATGCAGTATGTCGCTGGTTCGATCCTGACCCCGACGCCTGCTGCTGTATATTTGGAGTATGTGTGTCTCTCTCTCATCATCATCACGGTGGCCTGCTGTATATTTGGATTCTGTGTTTGTCTCTCTTTCTCTCTCCCTGCGGTCGCGTGGATTTTTCTCCGGGTCCTCCGGTTTTTCCCTCCACTTTTAGAATGAACGTGTGTGTTTAGAGTATTTGGCTGCTGTACATTTGCACGTGATGAGCCACTTCGTTGGGCTATCGTTTGTGGCCACGTCGCCTCTGAAAAAGAGCTACATAGCTCAGTGGGCCTTAGCTAGTAAAACTAAAATAGTTTATAATAATATAATAATGTTTTTTTACCCTTTTATCTGGCAACAAAACTGACACCTTTTTTACAAGGAGTCATGTTTGCATTGACCACAATACCTGCAGTCATATTGCAAACAAAAAACAACTCTGATAATGTATCCACTGTCCTTGAAGTTGTTTAGTCGAGTTTTATTTCCTCCATGCAGCCTTCAACAGACTGTTTCTTGCAACTCACTACTCTACGGGACGTCTGGCAAAAACATTACCAAGCTGCATGCGTTGGCTGCCGGGTGCCAAACGAATACATGATGAGGTTGCACTCATTACACACAAAGCGCTTGCCACAGATGAACCACAATACTTCGCTGATCTCGTCAAGAAGCATAAACCGTCACGCGAACTCCGCTCATCCTTGCAGCGGCGGCTTTTGGCTAACCATCAGATGCGCTTCTGCGGCCGTCTGGAACGCTTTTCCTTTCGATATATTAGGAAGCCACTGGAGCTATGCACTTTTAAATCATCATCTAGATTTAAAACTAATTTCTTTACGCTTTCTGTCTTTCAGTTGGTTGTCCTTCCCCCGCAGCCTCCGATGGGCGCGGTTGGCGGCTACGGTAGGGCGCAAAAGAAGTTCAACGCACGCACGGACGCACGCACGGATGCTCGCATGCACGCACACACGCACGCACGCACGCACGCTCGCATGCACGCACGCTCGCATGCACGCACGCACGCTCGCACGCTCGCACGCACGCTCGCACGCACGCACGCACGCTCGCACGCACGCACGCACGCTCGCACGCACGCACGCTCGCACGCACGCACGCACGCACGCTCGCACGCACGCACGCACGCTCGCACGCACGCACGCACGCTCGCACGCACGCACGCACGCACGCTCGCACGCACGCTCGCACGCACGCACGCACGCACGCTCGCACGCACGCACACACGGACGCACACACTTGCACGCACACTCGCACACTCGCAAGCACGCTCGCACGTACACACACTCGCACGCACACTCGCACACTCGCGCGCACGCACGATCGTACACACACTCGCACGCACACTCGCACGCTCGCACGGACGCTCGCACGCACACACACTTGCACGCACACTCGCACGCACGCACACACACTTGCACGGACGCTCGCACGCACACACACGCACGCACGGACGCACGCACGCACGCACCTGGTTGAGGTACTTCCCGGCGAAGAACGTGTGGTAGCCAGCGCGGCGGAGGTGCACGGGGAAGGCGTCCGCCTCCTGCAGCTTCTGCCACGCGGCGCTGCTGCAGTTGCCCGAGAGCGAGTTGTTGACCACGCCGTGGTTGTGCGGGTACTTGCCCGTCAGGATGCTGCTGCGGCTGGGGCAGCACAGCGGGCTCGCGACAAACTGGGAGAGAGAGGAGCGGCGGTTGTAGACGAGGGGTCAGAGGGTGCCGGTGGCGGGGCGGGGGGGTGCGGGGCTTTGAACGCGTTTGCTGTTTTCTATCCCGCGGAGGCTTTCGCGACTAATATGACAGAAGAGGTTTTTTGCGTTAGATCGCGTAAATATAAATGTGTCGAAACGTCGTACTCGGGTTGTAAATGTTGTGGATTTGCTCTCCAACACACAACCGGTTAGTGCTGTGCTAGAATTGGCACGTTCTGTTTACGTGACAAACCTTACTAAGCGGCCGTGTCGGGTGGTGGCGGGCTTAACGACGCGTTTATATTTACGCGATCCAACCCAAAAAAACCTCGATTGTGTTTTCTATCCCGTTCACAGCGCTAGCTCCATTCCCCGGGCACGGAACTTCACTTGATACAGTCAATTTTGCTGTGACGGTCCCACCTGAAGACGGAGACTTGTGTTGCCTCCGAAACGTCGTGATTTAATTGATTTATTTTCATTAATTATTATTTTATTAATTATTATTTTTTACCTACGTGACTTTACTGAAAAGACCTAAGAGTATGAATCCTTGCAGTCACGAAAGCTTCAAATCTAGAACTTTGGCTGCCGATCCCCTGGTGCGGTCCGATCGATTTGTCACTTAATCGGAGCGGTGATCGGCGAGAGAGTCGCCGGTCACTCGACGGTCCGTGCGCTCACCGCGTTGGTGAAGGTCGCCCCTTCGTCTCCGATGAGGGCGATGGTTTTCTTGAGCGGGGTCTAGAGGCGGGGAGAAAGACGACGAAGCCACGGTCAGTTGGACCCGGCAACAGCGTCCACAGCTGTTGAGTTTACACGACGCAGCCACTCCTGAGCTCACGACGCGCGCGCGTGCAGGTCCGCGCGCGATTCACAACCAAACGTTACTCCCAACGCGCACGTGTCATCGGTGGAATACGTTCGCAAATAAAGGTGGTTGTTTGAAGATTGTCAAAGGGTAAAAATAAAAAAAAGTTGCTTAAACCCTCTGCCCACCAAGCAGTACCTTGTGGGTTACACCGCGGTTAGTCGGATCGGCGGATCGCACGTGGTGGGGGTGAAGTGTGTTTCAGTTTTCAGTTTCATTTATTTGGTGTAGCCCTGTGAGCCATTCGGCTCTTGAATCGTGTGCAACCGCAACAAACAAAAACATGAACAAGAAAACGTCTTAAAGTGGCTATGCACAAACAGAAAAATCCAGGAAAAAACTGCAAAGACTTCCGGAAAAAAGCGCCGTACACCAACGCTGTGTGCAAAAATCCCAGTGGGATGCAAGTCAAACAACAACAACAACCATCACAAGACAACTTAGATTAAAGCCATCATTCTAAGTGTGGGTACTCCAAACTCTTCCAAAATGTTTCGGCCAGCGTGGAAGAGGAGGCAACAACAAATGTCGAGGGGGCTGCATCCTAGCGGAAGCCCTTCCAGCAGCAGTGACGAGAGCGAGCAACTGCACGGCTGCACCTTTACCTTCTATGCTGGGCTTAAGAATCGCTGTTTTTGTTTCCGTGAAGACGAGTCGAGAATGTTTTGAAGCACTTATTTAACACTGGTCAACACACTTTTTCTGGTATAAGCTATTCCAACGGGGTGCTGATTCCAAATCTGGCATCAGTTTTTGTCTATCACATCAGGTTTTTGAGATATCAAATATTGCATTTTCAATAAAAACTGCAGAAGAAAAATATTAAATAAATGTGGATATCTACATAAAATGATATTATAAACACACTATTCTAAAAAGACAGCACCATATTTTAACACTAAAGCAGTCACTGACTCGCAACAACTTGCAATCATAAGTGACAGAGTTAATTTCGGGTAAAATCAATGAAAATGGGGTATGTCGCTAGCATAAAAAAGAGATGTGATAGAGCAAATTAGTCTAAAACAGCTGCAAAAGTCCAGGCCAGAAAAAATTTTTTTAGTTGTTGTTGACCAGTGCAATTCACCAATGCACAGCAACACTCATTCCACAACCAACCTTGAACACACATCCCACAGCGCCCTTTAACCCATCTCTAATACACATTCCCGTCTGGCACGCCTTGGCCCGTGTGACGTCGTGTTTGCGTGGTGCGTGAGGGTGGCTCGCAGATCCCCTACATCCCTATGCTGCATTCATCCCTGCGAGACTTAATAAAAGACCGACAGAGATCAGATATTGGCATTAGAAACGCATTGCTACAGAGGGATACTGCTGGATCTTTGCTGGACACAAAGAGTGACCGGCGTAGAAGTGAGAAGAATTGTTGATGATGCAGGCAGTGATGAGAAGAGGACTGAAACTATTTGGACAACCCACGCGTAGCATGGACAGCAACAGGAAGATTTCAAGTGTGTTGCTGTTGGGTAAAATGGAAGTAACCGGGAAAGAGAGGGAGACCGCACAGAGAACGTCTTGACGATGACGACGACACAAGAGGAGATTGCCGCCAGGAAGATTTGGCCACTCCTGGAGAAGACCGGCACAAGGCAGAGAGGAAAGTGGAAAGGAATGACGAAAACGTGCAGTGGACACCGACTGAGGGCTATCTGCCCATGGATCACGATGCTGCTGCTGCACTAAATGGATCCGTGCGACTGACTGTGGCAACACGTGTGGTAACGTGCCCCAGGTTATCATTGTCGACGCCGAGCGGTTACCGTCTGTAGCCGGCAAGACGCACGTGCGGTTATCTTTAAGAGACGCGTAGGGAGCATATCGTGTCGTTACCCATCGCCGATTCATGAAGAAGACCTGCAGCGTTACGCCACTAACATGCACTGGGGCAGCGAGCATTCACACACGGTCGCCTTTGTATCCCCACTGCCGATCTCTTGCACACCTGGCGACAAGGCCAGGTACTCATTTAGGGCTGAGTCGACCTAGAGGGGTGGGGTGGAGGCAGAGGTCGCAAACGGGTTTTGATTCCTTACTCGTACCCATACCCGGCCGCACCAGGGTCACAAACGGGTACCCGTACCTGTACCCGGCTGTACCCGTACCCTACCCGTACCCGGCTGGGTACGGGTAGGGTACGGGTATCGGGTACCTGATTGCGACCTCTGGGATGAAGCCATGTTGCAGGCGCGGGTGGGTTGATTCTAGGAACTTGAATTGTGAGAAGAGACAAGACGTTGGGAAATGAGTGACAAACGGTTACTCACCAGTGACTCACGGTCTACCCGTACCCGGCTGCACCAGGGTCGCAAACGGGTACCCGTACCCGGCCGGGTACGGGTACGGTACCGGTATCGGGTACCCGATTGCGACCTCTGGGATGAGGCCATGTTGCAGGCGTGGGTGGGTTGATTCTAGGAACTTGAATTGTGAGAAGAGACAAGACGTTGGGAAATGAGTGACAAACGGTGACTCACCAGTGGACTCACGGTCTACCCGTACCCGTACCCGGCCGCACCAGGGTCGCAAACGGGTACCCGTACCCGGCCGGGTACGGGTAGCCGGGTATCGGGTAGGGTACGGGTATCGGGTACCCGGTTGCGACCTCTGGGTGGAGGGTGCTCAGGGAATGTTGAGACATCACGTGCTGAGCTCCTGCGCTTTTATGAGTCAACGCAGGCGCGTGACTGTGGAAACATCGCCACGCAGTGCGTTCTGTATTCACACTCCACTGCGTTATTGCGTCAAACGAGTTGAGCATTAGTCAACGCACGTCACAGCAATTCATTCAGGACACATTACGTAACGTTTACTGATACATTTATATAAAAAAAGACCCCCCCCCCCCACCCCGAATAGAGGCAAGGGTTTGTTAGCGCCTCATGAAGGCTGGAACGGCACAAGATGGGGTGGTAGGGTGGTCACCACCACGCCCGGCCGCCTTTGTCTCCCTAGAGGCGATGTTTACACATCGTACCAGGCTCAGGCTGGACTGGTTCAGATACTCGTTACTGGTATTAGCCGTGAGCTGAATCAATCACGTTACTAAAATAGGCTGCCTTGGAGTATGCATTGCCGGCGTAAGGCACTACCACTAGAGTCTCAAAAGGATAATAAAGTATTCTCTTTCGTTCTTTCGGTAAAGTCACACAAGTTGATTTAATTAAGTAGAACGTGTTGTCTACGTTTATTTAAAGTCGCGCTTTTTGATGTGACGTCACATTTCTCAACCCCCCCCCCCCCCCAGGTGCGTGACGTCATTTATGGACGGCCCCTTGAGTGAGCCACACGTGGCCCCCAGAGCCGGGAAGTCTTCACTATTGTTATAATCACTATTGTTATAATCACTATTGTTAAAAATCACTATTGTTATAATCACTATTGTTATAAATCACTATTGTTATAATCACTATTGTTATACTCACTATTGTTATACATCACTATTGTTATACATCACTATTGTTATAATCACTATTGTTATACATCACTATTGTTATAATCACTATTGTTATACATCACTATTGTTATAATCACTATTGTTATAATCACTATTGTTATAAATCACTATTGTTATAATCACTATTGTTATAAATCACTATTGTTATAATCACTATTGTTATAATCACTATTGTTATAATCACTATTGTTATAAATCACTATTGTTATAATCACTATTGTTATAATCACTACTACAAACATTGTGAATGTCGACAGGGCACGGCCACGTGTTTAACGAGACAACACAAATGCCAGGCGCTTAGGACTTGCATGTAATCGGGGAATGGGACAGCGGGCAGGGAGACACTCGCAGTTAGACAGATGATGTGCTGGAGAGACAGGCGGGCGATCAAACAGGTGGGCAGAGACACGTGCTGGTGATGCCACCAATGAGACAAGTTGACAGACAGTGATTCAGGCGGACATTACGGATGGACAGGCAGAGAGAGAGAGACAACGAGAGGAATTCAAACACGAGACAATGATCTGGCATGTATGTTGTTATCAACAAATGTGTCTCCCCAACGGCAATGTTTACTACACACCGCACCAGGTACTCATTTGAGGCTGAGTCGACCTAGGGGGGGGCCCAGGACCGGTTCAGATAATTGTCACTGGTGTTGGCCGTGAGCGGGAATCGAACCCGGGTCGCCGGGATCACAGGGCAGCGCGTTAACCGACACACCACCGCTCCCCAAAGACACACACAGATAGACACACATCAAGACAGACACACACACAGACACACATCAAGATAGACACACACACACATCAAGACAGACACACATACATCAAGATAGACACACACACAGAGACACACACATCAAGACAGACACACACACAGACACACACACACATCAAGATAGACACACACACATCAAGACACACACACACATCAAGACACACACACAGACACACATCAAGACACACAGACACACACACAGACACACACACACACACAGACACACACACATCAAGACAGACACACACACACATCAAGACACACACACAGACACACACACACATCAAGACACACACACACAGACACACACACAGACACACATCAAGACACACACACAGATACACATCAAGACAGACACACACACACACATCAAGACACACGTCAAGATAGACACACACACAGACACACATCAAGACACACACACAGATACACATCAAGACAGACACACACACACATCAAGACACACATCAAGACAGACAGACACACAGACACACACACAGACACACATCAAGACACACACACAGACACCCCCCCACCCCGCCCCGCTTACCATGCCCCCCAGGACCACGTCCTGGTCGTCAGTGAGCACGAACACCACGTTGGGCCCCCCCTGGCTTGGACCCCCCTCCACACTCCGCGCTGCGCTGCTGCAGCTGCAGCAGGAGAAGAAGCAGCAGGAGCCGAGTAGCAGCAGCAGGAGCAGCCGCGAGGTCTTCATGGTCCCTGCTGCAGCTGCAGCAGCTGCTGCTGCCGTTCTCGTGCGAATGTGGAACTTATTTCACCACTACGGCTGCTGCTATTCTAGTCAACACAGCTACTGCTGCTACTGCTGCTACTGGAGTTAACAACAACTACTGCTGCTGCTACTGCTGCAGTCAACAACTACTGCTGCTACTGCTGCAGTCAACAACTACTACTGCTGCAGTCAACAACAACTACTGCTGCTACTGCTGCAGTCAACAACTACTACTGCTGCAGTCAACAACAACTACTGCTGCTGGAGTCAACAACAACTACTGCTGCTACTGCTGCAGTCAACAACAACTACTGCTGCAGTCAACAACTACTGCTGCTGCTGCAGTCAACAACAACTACTGCTGCTACTGCTGCAGTCAACAACAACTACTGCTGCTGCTACTACTGCTGCAGTCAACAACTACTGCTGCTACTGCTGCAGTCAACAACTACTGCTACTACTACTGCTGCTACTACTGCTGCAGTCAACAACTACTGCTACTACTACTGCTGCTACTACTGCTGCAGTCAACAACAACTACTGCTGCTACTGCTGCAGTCAACAACAACTACTGCTGCTGCTACTACTGCTGCAGTCAACAACTACTGCTGCTACTGCTGCAGTCAACAACTACTGCTACTACTACTGCTGCTACTACTGCTGCAGTCAACAACTACTGCTACAACTACTGCTACAACTACTGCTGCAGTCAACAACAACTACTGCTACTACTGCTGCTGCTGCTACTGCTGCAGTCAACAACAACTACTGCTACTACTACTGCTGCTACTGCTGCTGCAGTCAACAACAACTACTGCTACTACTGCTGCTGCTGCTACTGCTGCAGTCAACAACAACTACTGCTACTACTACTGCTGCTACTGCTGCTGCAGTCAACAACAACTACTGCTACTACTGCTGCTGCTGCTACTGCTGCAGTCAACAACAACTACTGCTACTACTACTGCTGCTACTACTGCTGCAGTCAACAACAACTACTGCTACTACTGTTGCTGCTACTACTGCTGCAGTCAACAACAACTACTGCTACAACTACTGCTACAACTACTGCTGCAGCTACAACTACTGCTACTACTGCTGCTGCTGCTACTGCTGCAGTCAACAACAACTACTGCTACTACTACTGCTGCTACTACTGCTGCAGTCAACAACAACTACTGCTACTACTGCTGCTGCTGCTACTGCTGCAGTCAACAACAACTACTGCTACTACTACTGCTGCTACTACTGCTGCAGTCAACAACAACTACTGCTACTACTGCTGCTGCTGCTACTGCTGCAGTCAACAACAACTACTGCTACTACTACTGCTGCTACTACTGCTGCAGTCAACAACAACTACTACGGTCAACAACAACTACTGCTGCTGCTAATGAAGTCACCAGCTGCGTGTGTATCTTGCTGGGACTCACAGCCCCTGCTGCCCCCTTCGAGACTGTTGCTTCTGTTGCTAATCCACTTTGCGCTGCTGCTGCCGATTACGAAACCGCTCAACTCGACTGCTGCTACTGCTTGTGTAACCAACACAGCCACCAAGACCCGCTGCCTTGCTGAATGTACTACAGATGCCAGCAGCAGTACTTGACAGCACTCACGCCAGCACTACCTGCTGCTACTGCTGCTTGTGTAACCAACACAGCCACCAAGACCCGCTGCCTTGCTGAATGTACTACAGATCCCAGCAGCAGTACTTGACAGCACTCACACCAGCACTACCTGCTGCTACTGCTGCTTGTGTAACCAACACAGCCACCAAGACCAGCTGCCTTGCTGAATGTACTACAGATGCCAGCAGCAGTACTTGACAGCACTCACGCCAGCACTACCTGCTGCTTGTGTAACCAACACAGCCACCAAGACCCGCTGCCTTGCTGAATGTACTACAGATGCCAGCAGCAGTACTTGACAGCACTCACGCCAGCACTACCTGCTGCTACTGCTGCTTGTGTAACCAACACAGCCACCAAGACCCGCTGCCTTGCTGAATGTACTACAGATGCCAGCAGCAGTACTTGACAGCACTCACGCCAGCACTACCTGCTGCTACTGCTGCTTGTGTAACCAACACAGCCACCAAGACCCGCTGCCTTGCTGAATGTACTACAGATCCCAGCAGCAGTACTTGACAGCACTCACACCAGCACTACCTGCTGCTACTGCTGCTTGTGTAACCAACACAGCCACCAAGACCAGCTGCCTTGCTGAATGTACTACAGATGCCAGCAGCAGTACTTGACAGCACTCACGCCAGCACTACCTGCTGCTTGTGTAACCAACACAGCCACCAAGACCAGCTGCCTTGCTGAATGTACTACAGATGCCAGCAGCAGTACTTGACAGCACTCACGCCAGCACTACCTGCTGCTACTGCTGCTTGTGTAACCAACACAGCCACCAAGACCCGCTGCCTTGCTGAATGTACTACAGATGCCAGCAGCAGTACTTGACAGCACTCACGCCAGCACTACCTGCTGCTACTGCTGCTTGTGTAACCAACACAGCCACCAAGACCTCGCTGCCTTGCTGAATGTACTACAGATGCCAGCAGCAGTACTTGACAGCACTCACGCCAGCACAGCTGATGCTGCTGCTGATTGTATGGCGAGAGGAGAGCGGGTGGGGTGGGGTTTGGCCGTCGCTGGTTAACAACAAGGAAGTTGTCGTGAGTTGGGTGAAGCTGACGATGATGATGATGCTGCGATCATATGATCCCAACACACGTGGGCTCCCTCCCTCTCTCCTGCCAGGCTCCACGTGCCCTCTGCCGACCGTTCAGGGAACGCGCGCGGCCTCGCACGGAGTCGCACGCGCACAAAGGGGCCGTCCATAAATGACGTCACGCACCTAGGGGGTCAGACATTTGTGACGATGTGTGGGGGGTGGTGGGGGGGTGTTTGAGAAATGTGACGTCACATCGAAATGCGCAACTTTTAATAAATGTGGAATTGTTAGAACAACACTAATTGTTTATAACAACACTCCTACAATATCAAGAGTGCAGAGCCACATTAAATACGCACTACAATGTCAATAGTAGCTACTATACGTGTGACAATAGTAGTAGCTACTACACGTGTTACTACTGGACATGTAATAACTACATATCTCGTAGCTACATGTGTAGTAGCTACATATCACGTGTAGCTACGAGATGTGTAGCTATTCCACATGTAGTAGCTACTACATGTGGAGCAGCTACATGTGTAGCTGCTTCATGTGTAGCTGTTACACGTGTAGTAGCTGTTACACTTGTAGTAGTTGCTACACGTGTAGTAGTTGCTAAACGTGTTGTAGCTACTACACATGTGTAGTAGCTACACATGTGTAGTAGTAGCTACTACACATATGTAGCTACTTGTGCTACTACGATAATCTGGCACTGGATAGAGGGGCAACAACGCGGCCTTTGGCTGTTGCCTAACACAATTCACCACCTCCGGTGTCTCATTAACCTGAACTCTTCTTCAGGGAGAGGTCACGTGGCAGAGAATGCAAGGGCATGAAATTGGCAGTCGAGTTTAATCGTTGCTTTGTTTTTCACAGAGGGACGGCTCGAACCGGCCCGTGTCTGAGCTGGCGACTATGGCCCGTGTGATTGCACGGGAGGAAATTCCACATTCTTAAACAGGGGTTGGGGGTGGGGTGGGTTTATCGTTAAGCCCACCACTGCATTGATGACCAGGGTTTAACTTCAGCCACATTTGGCCGGTACTCTTAAGTTTTTTTCGGTAAAGTCACGTAGGTAAAACATGACATTAAAATTAATGAAAATAAAACAATAAAAATCACCGAGGTCAATTACTCAGCTGACATTAAAATTAATGAAAATTAAATAATAAAAATCACCGAGGTTAATTACTCAGCTGAGTAATTGATTTTTAGTATTTTATTTTCATTAATTTTAATTTCATTTTTTACCTACGTGACTTTACCGATAAAACTAAGAGTATGAATCCCTGCAGTCACGAAAGCTTCAAATCTAGAACCATCTGACCGGGTTCAGTAACCCACAAGATATATCCGTAGCTGGAACAACCGCATCTGACAGATCCCTTCCGCAATGCCCCCCTTCTAAGCAAGGCGGTAGTCCAGATGTCTTGTGTGTTCCTTTGCATATTCATTGCCGTTTTAAATACACCTTACTTTTGAGAAAAATTACGTTTATAGAGAATGAAATTTGGGTCACAAGACATCTGGACCACGCTGTACATTCCCGTTTGCCGACGAGCACATGACCTTTCTTATTCCGTGACGGTCTAGGGCAGGGGTTGGACAACTTTTATCTGCCAAGGGCCATTTGGATATCTATAGCACCATTCGCGGGCCATACAAAATGATCAATTAAAAAATTAGCTCGTTATATTTAGTCAAACATTTAATTAACTCCCCCCCCCCTAATGCGATGGGCTGGAACTGCTTCTCTTTGGCGAGGCGTGTGATGTTAGCTGGTATTGACGATGTTGCTACTCGCAACTGCTTTTCCAGGTTTGCTCCTAGATTTGTTGAATTCCGAGTCCCGCTTGCGGTTGCCTTGGCAGGGCCAGAGACCAAATGATTTCGTGGGCCTCATACGGCCCGCGGGCCGGACGTTTCCCACCCCTTGATCGAGGGCGACATTATGACGAACCGGGCGGCGTTGTTGTTATCTTTCCCACAAGGCGGAAAAGCGCCCAAGTCTGGAATCATTCACGAGCAAATCGCGCGCCGCGCGCCGTGGCACGGCCACGTTGAGATCACGTGGCTCTGGATGGGGGTTGCGGGTCCACCACTTGATGGGCGTGAGGCCCGTCTCGTCTGTCCGGCGAGTCCCAACAGGCAGCAGCGACACGTGACGCGCTCGTGCGGCGCTTCTCTAGCTGCCTCCCCACCACCACCACGTGGTGACCCGACCATGCTGGACATCTCGATACCAAGATCCAGGATGGTCATCGTGTCTATGCGCCGCTTCTTGGTGGCAGCCCCAACAGTCTGGAACGATATCCCTCTGCACATTCGCAGCATCACCTCAATCGCCTCCTTCAAGAGAGATTTAAAAACTCACCTCTACAATCACGTGCTTTTGAGCGACTCTGAGCTTGGCTCCGCGCCTCTGAGTTGCGGTCACTACGTCTGCAAATTTGCGCGCGTTACAAATTGTACTATTATTATCTGTGACAAAAGAGCTTCATAGATCATCGGATTCCTCCTGCTGCAGTCTCAATATTCAGATTCTGACCAAACGCATTCGCTTCTCTCTTAATTAACAGCAATACGAAATGATTCATATTACTGGAGCATAGCAATATGTATTAACTCGTAGCTATGTGTTTTCTTGGGGGGGGGGGGCACATTTAGATGTTAGGGTAGTTTAATCGTGGTAGTTTACCCAACTTAACTTTTAAATTAACTATCGGAAGTAAAATATGAGACAATGTCTGCAACAAAAGGCATTATAAACTTCTAGATTTGAAGCTTTCGTGACTGCAAGGATTCATATTCTTAGGTTTTTTCGGTAAAGTCACGTAGGTAAAATTTTTAAATAAAAGTAAAATAAAATTCACGACGTTTCGGAGGCAACACAAGCTTCCGTCTTCAGGTGGAACCATCACAGTACACTTGCTGTATCAAGATACAGCAAGCGTGCTGTGACGGTTATTAATTTTAGTTTTTTACCTACGTGGCATTATAAACGTCATTAATGTCCGGATCAAGCTCCATTTGTATCACAGCCACCGCAGAACACCTGGGGGGGGGGGGGGGGGGGCCTCTCATTCCACCTGGGGGGGGGGGCGTCATGGCCCACCTGGGGGGGGGCCTCACGACCACCTGGGGGAGCCTCTCATTCCACCTGGGGGAGCCTCTCGGTCACCTGGGGGAGCTTCATGGCCCACCTGGGGGAGCCTCTCGGCCCACCACCGGTAGTCCCGGGGTCCCACACTCTGAGAGTCGCTGCTGCTGCTGCTGCTCCAGAGCGACGAGTTCCCATGAGATCATCGCGTCGGCGAGAGGTCGTGTTTGTTTGTACTGTGCCTATTGTACCGTGCCATTTCTAACCGGCCACCAGACAGACGAAGTGACAAGCCGGGGGGCCGCGATAATCTCTGGATTAGCGCTTTCACCCAGAGTGTGAGAGCGCGAGGCGCTTCCGAACAACGCAGTACGGGCAGCCACGAGTCTGCATCCATCTCGGTGCACCACAGTGGGGCCTTTGCGGTGGCGTACAAAACCACGCGCGACAAGATCTCAACGCCAAGATGATGAAATCGCAAAAACAGCGCTCGCCTTGAGAAACGAAAACGAACGGCCTCCGGTAAAAATGGGTAGCGTCAAAAAAAACACCACGCCGTTTATTTATACACACATTCGCTTAGTTCCGCTCCAGTATCTCTATCGCCGCGGCAAGTTTTATTCTGAATATAAAACAAAAAAAATCTGCACAGCGATCGCGGTTTCAGGTCGCGGGCAAAATCGCGAGCCGACTCGACTGTTCCTGCCGACGCGGTGTGACGAACAACACCATGCTCTGAACTGCTCCCCGTGCTTGCCCTGTCCCACGCTTGTGCGTGTGCGCGTGTGTGTTCACGGATTCCTGGGCCTCCGCTAGGTCGACTCGGCCTCAAACGAGTACCTGGTGCGGTGCGTAAACATCGTGAGGTGCTTCTTCTTGGTTCTTTCGGTAAAGTCACGTAGAAGGGAAATAATAAAAATAAAACATAATAAAATAATTATCACGTTTCGACCACAACGCAAGCCAGCCGTTGTGGCCGAAACGTCGTGAGATTTTTATTATTTCCCTTCTACGTGACTTTACCGAAAGAACCAAGAAGATGAATCCCTGCAGTCACGAAAGCTTTAAATCGAAATCGTGAGGTGCTGGCCGCCCGCTCCCCTCAACAGTCTGTTAAGACTACACGGGGGATCTTTGTCTTTGTTCACAGACGGTAAATCGTGGTTATGATGAAGATTGATTTTTTATCATAATAAAATGGTGGGCGGGGGGCAGAGTTTGGCAGATTGAATCTTTGTTGTGAAGGTGAGCGTTGCGGACCGACGGCTCGGTCCACCACCGTCAGTTGTCCGCGAGGTCCTTCTGCTCAAAGTATCTGTTGGGAGAGAAATGCGGAGGGCACGGTCAATGCAGGCCTAGGTGTAGGCCTCGGCAAGGTATGGTAAAAGTGTAAAAACAACGAGCCTACCTTTACCCTACCTTTTACCCTTACCCCTTGGCATGTCGACACCTTTACCCTTACCCTTTAACCCGGTAAAAAGGGTAAATTACCTTACTTTGCCGAGGCCTACATCTTGTTCTTTAGTGCTGCCTAACGGCGTGTGCGACTTCACGATGATATTGGTCCCGGTCTAGCACGGCGTGTAGAGTTTGTGCTGTTGTTAATTGTAGCCATGTTTTGATGTTACTGAGCCATGTCGTTTTTGGCCGTCCTGGTCGTTTTTTCCCTTCGATTTTTCCTTGCAGGATTTACTTTAATAGCTGGTATTTGTGGTCGTTTCGGGCAAAGTGGCCTAGGTAGTAACACTTCCTGCTAATGATGGTCTTCAGCAGTTGCCTGTCAGTGCCCATATCTTGCACAACTTGTGTGTTGGTGGTTTTGGCTGTCCATGGGATTTTCAGCATTCTTCGATACAGCCACATCTCGAAAGCTTCGAGCCTTTTTGTTGCTGTTGTTGTCAGTGTCCACGTCTCTACTCCGTACGGCAAAATTGACCAGATGTAGCATTTCAGTGTGCGCAGTTTCAGTGATGTACTCAAGTTGCGGTCTGCAAGGAGTGTTTTCCATTTAATAAACGCTTGCCTTGCTTGTTTGTGAATTATTACCCCGCTACCCCCTTCTCCACCGCCCCCCGGGTTTCCTCCCACGTGTAAACAACTCATCGATTTCCAATAACACCTCGATATACAGAGGACCACAGAGCTTGGGAAAATTGTCGGCGCCGGCTCTTCACTGCGTGGTCCCCGCCCCCCCCTGGCGCCACCGTGCCGGGCTCTCTGCGAGAGCGAACGAATGCGGTGCGTTTGCGCGCTACAAGTTGAAATTATGACGATTTGGCAATCTTTGGAAGAACGTAATCAACCAGGTAGGGTGTTGACGGTTTTGTTGGACGACTCTCTGTGTTGTAATGCATTATTATATTTCCAAGTTTACTATGTTTGTTTTCTCATTTATTTGTACCTGATGATGGTTGCTTGTGTTGCAATCGAAACGTCGTATTCTATTATTATTTAATGTCTTTCTACGCGACTTTACCGAAAGGCCCAAAGAGTATTACGATCATCGTTAATTCTCATCATCTAGATTCTACCACCCGTGCTTAGCCTCCGTAGATCCGGCGACGCTGGGCGCGTTAAGGGTCGTGTGTTCACAGGCTGACGCTGCGTGGATGAGCAGCGAGCGCCCGTCACGGCACGCGTTGCCACCGACACCACCAACAGCAGAAACATCCCCCGTGTGGCCTTAACAGACTGTTGGGGCAAGTGGCGTTATCAAGTCGTATCCATGAAGGCCGGCACGGCCAGCACCACGCTCGGCCGTCTTTGTCTCCCCAGTGGCAACGTTTACACACCGCACCAGGTACTCATTTAAGGCGGAGTCGACCTAGGGGAGGCCCAGGACCGATTGAGATAATCGTCTTTGGTGTTGGCCATGAGCTGGAATCGAACTCGGGTCGCCAGGTTCATAGCTCAGCGTGCTAACCGCTACACTATTGCTCCACCACCACCGTCCTCATCATCATTCATCGTCATTATCATCATCGTCACCATCGTCGTCATCGTCACCATCGTCTTCATCGTCGTCGTCATCGTCGTCGTCGTCATCGTCGTCGTCGTCATCGTCATCACCGTCATCATCGTCGTCATCATCATCGTCATCATCATCGTCGTCATCATCGTCGTCGTCATCAGCGTCACCTCCCGTACACGTTTCCGCGCGCCACCAAGGCGAGACGCCCGCACAGCGTGCACTCACCTCGCCACGAGGCAGATGAGCAGGTTGAGCGCAGACAGCCTGCTGTCCTCGGGGCTCTCCTGGAGGGCGACAAGACAACAACAACAATAACAACAACAACAACGACAATGTTTGTAAGTTGCATCTATTATGTATGTTCAGCTTATTTTGCACCGTATGTAGTCAACCGTGTGAATCGAAGGTGCGGGGGAAAAACGACAAACTGAACACACAAAAAGCAAATTATTTGGGTCTTTCGGGAACGTCACGTAGATAGGTTCAAAGAAAATAACAAAAAGCTACGACGTTTCGATCGCAACACAAGCGGTCGTCTGATGACGAGGATGACAACTGCCTGTGTTGCGATCGAATCGTCGTAGTTTTTTGTTATTTTCTTTGAACCTATTGACGTGACTTTACCAAAAGACCCAAAGAATATGAATTCCTGCAGTCACGAAAGATTTAAGTCAAGATTTACACAAAAAGCAGTTAAAAATAAAATGAGTTTTCAAAGAATATATCATGAGACCTCCTTTGCCAGTACCAAAATATAAGGTTTTTCCCCTTTTTTCTGGCAACAAAACTGAAACATTTTTACGAGGATTCATGTCTGCATTAACCACAATACTTGTGGTCAGAATGCAAACAAAAAACACTGATATTTGCTTGTCCTTGAAACTGATTGGTCCACACCAGAGACGGCTTTCTTTTGAGCCTCGTTGAGTTTTATAAGGGCACCAAGGGGTGACCAGCCCCTCCCCACCCAGCCCCACCCTCCCCACCCAGCCCCTCCCCACCCTCCCCACCCAGCCCCTCCCCACCCTCCCCTCCCCACCCAGCCCCTCCCCACCCTGCCGCACCCTCCCCACCCAGCCCCTCCCTGCACGACGGACGGACACAATAATCCCCTGTGGGCTGGTGTAACCAGGAGGTTCCTACCAGTATTTGGTTCTGCATTTAACTTGGCTCATGGGTCCGGCTCGTGAGTACTAAACACATCGGTTTGACCGTCACGCGACGGACATCGCGCCTACCCCGGGGCGCGGTAGAAGGCTTCTCACTTACCAGACTGGCCCGGAGGCTGGCACAGTTGCGGGCTATCTGTCGCAGCAGGGAGTGTGCCTCTGGCAGCAGCGGCTTCTCGATGCAGGCAAGCAGCGCGTAGATCCAGCGTCCCTGCAAGGAACACCGCGGCGCCGCCGCCGCCACTGCAAATCACTCTGACGCAGCAGCAAGTCACTCTGACGCAGCAGCAAATCACTCTGATGCAGCAGCAAGTCAGTGGCCAATGAAGATTCGCATCCGGCAATGAGGTTAAAATCAAATGTCGGTTAGCACTGATCTACCAGACTGACTGTTTTGCGAGGCAGGTTACAACAAACTCACTCACCAAGTCGCTCACTCACACACTTACCCACCCACTCACTCATCCACCTATCCACACACCCACTCATTTACTAACCCACTCACCCAGGCACTTACCCGCACACTCATCCACCTATCCACCCACCCAATCACTATCTATCACCCAGTTACTTATACATTTTGTGTGTTCACTCACCACACTACAAATTAAAACACGCTCAACAACTCACTTACTCGCCCACTTACTCACCACACTGCAGGTTACAACATTAGACACACTTACCAACTCGCTCACCACACTGCAGGTCACAACATTAGACACTCACCAACTCACTCACCAACTCGCTCACCACACTGCAGGTGACAACATTAGTCACTCACCAACTCGCTCACCACACTGTAGGTCACAAAATTAGTCACTCACCAACTCACTCACCACACTGCAGGTCACGATATTAGGAAACCATTGGCGTGACCCACTTTTAAATGCAGATTGAAAACTAATTTCTTGAGAACTGATTTTTGAGTTTAGTTTGTTGTCCTTCCCCCCGCACCTCCGATTAGCACGGCTGGCTACGTACAGTGCGAAAGAAGTTCAACGTACACAACAGATACAACCTACGAACATTATTATTGTTCAAACTTAATTTGGAGCTTTCGTGACTGCAGGAATTATTCTTTGGTTCTTTCGGTAAAGTCATGTATAAAGATAAAATAATAAATTAAATACTAGCATACGACGTTTCGATTGCAACACAAGCAATCATCATCAGGTATAAATAAAATAGGATCACAAATCTAGTATACTTAGAAATGTAATGTAATACAACAGAGAGTCGGATAACATAACAGTCAACACCCTACCTGGTTGATTACGTTCTTCCTGAGAACGCTAAATTTGAGAGAGTGTATTCCGCAAATATTATTGTTGTTGTTATCTTGTCGCACTCCAGGAAAGCCCCGAGGGACATATGCACGTACATACGTACATCCCCGATTTGAAAATAAAATTTCGAAAGAGAAGAAACAAAAAATAATCGAGTTTTTTTTCAGTGTTCTTATTCGTCGTTCACTTTGCAAATCGGGGGAGGAGCTCACCAACTCCTCGGAGAAGCCTCTCTCCTCGAACCACACGGTCAGGTACTCCAGCACCACGATGAGGGTCGCCTGCCGCACACACGCCGCAGAAACACAAACGCCACAAAGACAAAGATCCCCCCCCACCGCCTGTATAGCCTCGACAGACTTTCGGGGCAAGTGCCGTTAGCGAGTTGCACCTATGAACGACGGCACGGCACCACGCACATCCGGCCGCCTTTGTCTCCCGAGTGGCGATGTTTACTACGCACTGCACCAAGTGCTCATTTGAGGCCGAGTCGACCTAGGGGAGAACCAGGGGTCGTGTTTCAGATAATGGTCACTGGTGTTGACCGTGAGCGGGAATCGAATTTGAGTCGCCGGGTTCGTAGCACTGCGCGCTAACCGCTGCACTACCGCTCCCCATACGTTACCATACACACGCACGCACACACATATGTATTGGGAATGTGTTCCTTATTTTGCCGATTGATCCCAAATAAAAATTTGAAATTTGGGCCATTTAAGACGATACGATCTTTGCGTGCGTTTTATATTGATCAGAAAAAATATGACGCCGCAGGAAGTAATGCCGCTTCCTGTAATGGGCACATTTTAAAATGCGCTTCCTGTGACGTGACGACTGTGGTGTCACATGGTACGGGGAGGGCGATGTTACTACTCTCGGCAAGAGGGCAACTTCAATTATGATGTGACAAAAATTATTCGAAAAACGACGAGAAAGTGACCTTCAAAATAAAAATGCCAAACATTTAAATCTGAAACTCATCTCTAGTGCATAACTGATGCACATTAATAATGTGAAATATATCAACACACGGGTTATATTACTGGTAGGAACCCACTGGTTCCACCAGCCCACAGGGGATTATTGTGTCCGTCCGTCCGTCGTGCAGGGAGGGGCTGGGTGGGGAGGGGCTGGGTGGGGAGGGGAGAGTGGGGAGGGGCTGGGTGGGGAGGGTGGGGAGGGGCTGGGTGGGGAGGGTGGGGGGTGGGAGGGGTGGGGCTGGGTGGGGAGGGGCTGGTCACCCCATGGTGCCCTTATAAAACTCAACGTTTAACCTACTCACGCCGGCTTGTGCCCGCCCTCACAGTCGGGCATATTTGCGGAATACACCACGCCGCCGTTGACCCTGGCCATTGACCGAGCAATCCAACGTTCCTACCAGCTCCCTCCGCAGGAATGTGTTTAAAGGGGGCTTTGGTGGGACGCGTGCATGGAGGTCGTGACGGCCTGTGGTTGAGACTAACGATGGAACGGTGGCCAAAGGAGCAAACGCGTCCACAGCGGAGCGATGAGATCAGAAAGGCCGCGAGAGATGGCGACGACACAGGGGAGGGCCTCCATCCAGCAGTGGGTAGATCATGGCTGCTGATGACAATGATGACGATGATGATAATAAAAGATGCAGAAAACAAATAGTTTTGCGTTCTTCTGCGCACTTTATCAAGACGGAAAGAAAGTAGTTATTTTTAACACGTGGGCTTTCGCGATCACCGCCTGATGATGCCGGTTCTAATTACTGGCGAAACGTCGTACTCAGATCGTAAATGTTGTGGATTTCTCTCCAACACACTGGCACCTTCTGTTAACGTGACAAACCTTACTAATTGGCTGTGTCGGGTGGTGGCGGCGGGTTTAACGACACGTTTATATTTACGCGATCTAACCCCCCAAAAAAAAAAAAATCTGTATTACGGAAAATAGTTCTTCTTAAGCCTCCGACAACAAAAAAAAAACGTCGGGGTGGTGTCACGAAGACTTACTTGACCCAAGTTGCCAACCACGCTGAGCAGCGGAGGGGTGCCGATCTGTTCAGAACATCAACGAGAGAGGAGAGAGACAGGGAGGGCAACGGGTTATCATCGCGGTATCACGTTACGCAGCAGCTCTCTTGCACGGCGGGATGTTCACCGCCGACGTCTCCATCAGAGCCGGGATCGATTAGTGAAGTTGGATCTAGATTAGAAGTTTCCGTGACTGCAGGGATCCATACTCTTTGGTTCAGCAATTTGTTTCGTGCTGTGGTTGTCCCACCTGATGACGGACGCTTGTGTTGCGCCCGAAACGTCGTGATTTAATTTATTTTGTTTTATATCTACGTGACTTTACCGAAAGAACCAAAGAGTATGGTTAATTCATAATCAACGTTTTTGGGTTTAGATAACGTTATTTATAAATGTGTCGTAACCCTCCACCACCCGACACGGCCAATCAGTAAAAAAGTGTCACGTTGACAAAAGACAAATAGTTCACTGCTTTAGCCCACCGGTATGTTGACGCGTGAAACCACAACAGCGAATTGCCCGATGATGCTGGATGCAATTACCAGCGAAACGTCGTACTCAAATTGTAAATGTTGTGGTTTCACGCTTCAAGACACCGGTGGGCTAAAGCAGTGAACTATTTGTCTTTTGTCAACGTGACACTTTTTTTACTGATTGGCCGTGTCGGGTGGTGGAGGGTTACGACACATTTATAAATAACGCGATCTAAACCCAAAAACGTTGATTATGAATAATATTGGTCGCGAAAGCCTGCTACGTGTTAAACAGAGTATGGTTCAGTTGGGTTATTCAACCTAAAACTGTAAATCGGCTTCTGCTCGATTACTTGGGCCCCCCTTTACAATTAGGAGCCCCCCCCCCACCACCATCCTGCCTACCGAAGGCAGGAAACCCCCGACAAGAGCCGCCCGGCGTGACGGCGGCGGAGGAGGATTTTGGATGACATCACCGAGCCTGACCCGTTACCGCGCGTCCAGCGGCACACGTGAGAACAGAGGTCAAACTTTTTTCCCCCAACTATGTTAGAGTTGTACTCTTTGGTTCTTTCGGTAAAGTCGACAACTCGAATTTTCTAATCAGTAATCAGGAGAGTAATTGATTACCAAAGTGACCGATTACCAACCAAGGAATGGATTGCTACCAAAGTAAACGATTAATACCCAAGTCACAGATTTCTACCCAAGTCACAGATTGCTACCCAAGTAATCGTAGAGCAGCTCAGCTCTGCTTCAGGTGCTCGTGTGGAGGCTGGCGAGTGAGTATCTCTGGTCTAGGTGCTCGTGTGGAGGCTGGCGAGTGAGCAGCTCTGGTCTAGACGCTCGTGTGGAGGCTGGTGAGTGAGTAGCTCTGGTCTAGGTGCTCGTGTGGAGGCTGGTGAGTGAGCAGCTCTGGTCTAGGTGCTCGTGTGGAGGCTGGTGAGTGAGTAGCTCTGGTCTAGGTGCTCGTGTGGAGGCTGGTGAGTGAGCAGCTCTGGTCTAGGTGCTCGTGTAGAGGCTGGTGAGTGAGTAGCGCTGGTCTAGGCGCTCGTGTGGAGGCTGGTGAGTGAACAGCTCTGGCCTAGGTGCTCGCGTGAAGGCTGGTGAGTGAGTAGCTCTGGTCTAGGAGCTCGTGTGGAGGCTGGTGAGTGAGTAGCTCTGGTCTAGGTGTTCGTGTGGAGGCTGGTGAGTGAGTAGCTCTGGTCTAGGTGCTCGTGTGGAGGCTGGTGAGTGAGCAGCTCTGGTCTAGGTGCTCGTGTGGAGGCTGGTGAGTGAGTAGCTCTGGTCTAGGTGCTCGTGTGGAGGCTGGTGAGTGAGCAGCTCTGGTCTAGGCGCTCGTGTGGAGGCTGGTGAGTGAGTAGCTCTGGTCTAGGTGCTCGTGTGGAGGCTGGTGAGTGAGCAGCTCTGGTCTAGGTGCTCGTGTGGAGGCTGGTGAGTGAGCAGCTCTGGTCTAGGTGCTCGTGTGGAGGCTGGTGAGTGAGAAGCTCTGGTCTAGGTGCTCGTGTGGAGGCTGGCGAGTGAGTAGCTCTGGTCTAGGTGCTCGTGTGGAGGCTGGTGAGTGAGCAGCTCTGGTCTAGGTGCTCGTGTGGAGGCTGGTGAGTGAGCAGCTCTGGTCTAGGTGCTCGTGTGGAGGCTGGTGAGTGAGCAGCTCTGGTCTAGGTGCTCGTGTGGAGGCTGGTGAGTGAGTAGCTCTGGTCTAGGTGCTCGTGTGGAGGCTGGCGAGTGAGTAGCTCTGGTCTAGGTGCTCGTGTGGAGCCTGGCGAGTGAGTAGCTCTGGTCTAGGTGCTCGTGTGGAGGCTGGCGAGTGAGTAGCTCTGGTCTAGGTGCTCGTGTGGAGGCTGGTGAGTGAGCAGCTCTGGTCTAGGCGCTCGTGTGGAGGCTGGTGAGTGAGCAGCTCTGGTCTAGGTGCTCGTGTGGAGGCTGGTGAGTGAGCAGCTCTGGTCTAGGTGCTCGTGTGGAGGCTGGTGAGTGAGTAGCGCTGGTCTAGGCGCTCGTGTGGAGGCTGGTGAGTGAGCAGCTCTGGTCTAGGTGCTCGTGTGGAGGCTGGTGAGTGAGTAGCTCTGGTCTAGGTGCTCGCGTGAAGGCTGGTGAGTGAGTAGCTCTGGTCTAGACGCTCGTGTGGAGGCTGGTGAGTGAGTAGCTCTGGTCTAGGTGCTCGTGTGGAGGCTGGTGAGTGAGTAGCTCTGGTCTAGGTGCTCGTGTGGAGGCTGGTGAGTGAGCAGCTCTGGTCTAGGCGCTCGTGTGGAGGCTGGTGAGTGAGCAGCTCTGGTCTAGGAGCTCGTGTGGAGGCTGGTGAGTGAGTAGCTCTGGTCTAGGTGCTCGTGTGGAGGCTGGTGAGTGAGTAGCTCTGGTCTAGGAGCTCGTGTGGAGGCTGGTGAGTGAGCAGCTCTGGTCTAGGTGCTCGTGTGGAGGCTGGTGAGTGAGTAGCTCTGGTCTAGGAGCTCGTGTGGAGGCTGGTGAGTGAGTAGCTCTGGTCTAGGTGCTCGTGTGGAGGCTGGTGAGTGAGTAGCTCTGGTCTAGGTGCTCGTGTGGAGGCTGGTGAGTGAGTAGCTCTGGTCTAGGTGCTCGTGTGGAGGCTGGTGAGTGAGTAGCTCTGGTCTAGGTGCTCGTGTGGAGGCTGGTGAGTGAGTAGCTCTGGTCTAGGTGCTCGTGTGGAGGCTGGTGAGTGAGCAGCTCTGGTCTAGGTGCTCGTGTGGAGGCTGGTGAGTGAGTAGCTCTGGTCTAGACGCTCGTGTGGAGGCTGGTGAGTGAGTAGCTCTGGTCTAGGTGCTCGTGTGGAGGCTGGTGAGTGAGCAGCTCTGGTCTAGGTGCTCGTGTGGAGGCTGGCGAGCGAGCACGTGGATGGCTTCTGAGGAGCAGCCACTTGGTCAATATCTCAACCGCTGCCTGGCGAATGCTCGGAGCGGGCGATGGCGGTACTCAGCGCTCCGCCCTTTGGGACCGGTGGTCGCGGTCGCACTGTGGGACGTTATTAACGTCTGTCCATGGCGGCAAGAGGAGGCCGCAACGGCCACTGCAGGGCAGAGGTCGCAATCGGGTACCCGATACCCGTACCCTACCCGATACCCGGCTACCCGTATCCAGCCGGGTACGGGTACGGGTACCCGTTTGCGACTCTGGTACGGCCGGGTACGGGTAGGCCGTGAGTTACTGGTGAGTAGCCGTTTGTCACTCATTTCGGGTAGGGTACGGGTACGGGTAGGGAACGGCTACCCGTACCCGGCCGGGTACGGGTACCCGTTTGCGACTCTGGTACGGCCGGGTACGGGTAGGCCGTGAGTTACTGGTGAGTAGCCGTTTGTCACTCATTTCGGGTAGGGTACGGGTACGGGTAGGGAACGGCTACCCGTACCCGTACCCGGCCGGGTACGGGTACCCGTTTGCGACTCTGGTACGGCCGGGTACGGGTACGGGTAAGGAATCAAAACCCGTTTGTGACCTCTGCTCTGCAGGGCTGGCCAACCTGTAGCAGACTGAGAGCCAAAAAGTCCACCGTGAGTTCTTCACAGAGTCAAGTATATACATAAGTATATATATAGAGGCAGTTTCCAGCACAGCACGGGAGACATTCATTATTCTTTGCTACCAGGATAGTACACTCTAAGTTATGCACCTTCGATAGAGCCGCATGTTATGGATTAAACTAAACCATTACTATTATATTCTTGGTTCTTTCGGTAAAGTCACGGAGAAGGGAAATAAAAAAAAGAATAAAAAAAATAAGCTTTAATTCAAAATTTAAACCATTACTGTTTTTTATTTTTCCAGGTAAGGCCCACTGAGCTACGTAGCTCTGTTTCAGAAGCGAGCTGGCCACAAATCGCAGGTCAAAGAAGTGGCTTATCACGTGGAAATTTATAGCAGCCAAATACTCTAAACGCATGACGTTGATTCTAAATGTGGAGTGAAAAACCGGAGGACCCGGAGAAAAATCCGCACGACCACGGGGAGAGAGAGAGAGACACGCAAACTCCAAATATACAGCAGCAGGCGTCACGGTCAAGGATCGAACCCACGACCCCCTGTAGACCAGGCGAGGTAGTTAACATCTCCTAGCGACCGCGACGCCCTGAAAGAGCCGCATGCGACTCGGGATACGCCACCGCTGGGTCCACGCGATGCGGCATGCCGTCGTGAACGGTGCGTTCAACAGAGACGCAACGGGGACGAAAATCAACGCTTGCGCGGTGATCCCGCAACAGCCTTCCCAGCGTGCGATCGAAACCTAACGAGGCGACGTCGCACGCAACGGCGTCGTCGGCAGGGCAAGCAGGGTGCCTGGCACGCGACGGCATCGCCTTGCCCGACACGGTGGATACTTTTGAGCACTGTTTTGCGTCACCAAGTTTTGGGCAACGACCCTTCGATCGATGCGGCTCGTTTTCCCTCGGGCGAGGAGTCCCTTAATCCTTATTCCGTTCCGAGACGTTTGCAAGTTGCAGAGTGTGGGTATCCCCGTTCAGCGACGAATCTCGGAACGCGCGAGCGGTTCACCGTTCATTTTATTTAGAGAGAGACGCAGCGCCGCTGTTCATAAAGACATTTTACTCAACGTGGAAAACCCTACTGGCTCGACCGCACTCTACGATAGCTGGCGCAAATCTGTGCCACACGCCCTCCCGCATGGCCTTGTGGGAGCCTCGGTACCGATAAAGCTATTTTATACAGGTAGGAGCAACAGTTCCACACTGCCCACCAGGGATTATTTGTCTGTCGTGCATAGCGCCTCCCAAACACGTAGCACGCTCCCGGATTGGTTGAAGTGCGTCACGTGACCGCGAGCTTTCTGTCGTGCCACGAATGCGCTGTCCAACCAAGTTCCTACCTGCCCACTCCGAAGGAACGTGTTTTTGTTTTTCCGTTCACGTATGTCATCGGAACGGAATTGGAAGAAAAACGAATGACGTGGGAAAAAGGATTAATAGCAACTGCACGTCCTACTAAGTTTAGTTGATATTGGGATGGTCGTTCTGAGTGTTACTGTGACACCCACCCACCTCCGCTCCTGCCCCGGTTACAGACGGACAGACACAGCTAAAGCGTTGTCAACGCTTTTAACCAAAGTCGCGGTAAAGCATCAAAATATGGGGAATTGGCGCATGCAGCAGCTCCAAGCTAAAGCTTTATTTAACCATGTAAAGCCAACTGAGCTATTAGCTCTTTTTCAGCAGCCAAATAATCTAAACGCGCGTCGATTCTAAATGCGGTGGAGAGCAAAACCGGGGGAACCCGCCGAACCATCCAGGTGACCAGCACGGGGGAGAGAGCGAGAACACGCGGACTCCAAATACACAACAGGCATCGTCAGGGTCAGGGATCGATCCCACGACCTCCTGCGCACCAGGCGAGGGAGGTAACAGCTCGCCGCTAGCGCGACGCTCACCTTCAAGAAGTCGAGGTCCAGCTCCTCGCTGTCTGCGGGGTCGCCGTCGACGCCGGCGGTGGCGGCGGCGGCGGCGGCGGGGGGTTCGGATTGCGCTCTGCTGCCGTACCGCCGTTCCCCCAAGCAGAAGCGCTTCCACCCCTCCTCATCCTCCACTTCTGGCTGCGTCGTTACATCGCAGGGACGGGCGCAAGAGACTCGCGCTGAAGTATCGGTGCTGCAGGAAGTCCTATAACACTGGTCAACACACTTGTTCTGGCATAAGGTATTTCAACGATTCCAAATCTGGCATCAGTTTTTGTCAATCACATCAGGTTTTTGAGATATCAAATATTGCATTTTCAATAAAAACTGCAGAAGAAAAATATTAAATAAATGTGGATATCTACATAAAATTATATTATAAACACACTATCCTAAAAATACAGCACCATATTTTAACACTAAAGCAGTCACTGACTCGCAACAACTTGCAATCATAAGTTAGAGCCTTAATTTCGGGTAAAATCAATGAAAATGGGGTATGCCGATAGCATAAAAATGCGATGTGATAGAGCAAATCTGAGATCAGATTTGGAATCAGCACCCTGAAATTAGTCTAAAACAGCTGCAAAAGTCCAGGCCAGAATTTTTTTGTTGACCAGTGTAATACAGGTAGGAACAACAGGTCCACATTGCCCACCAGGGATTATTTGTCTGTCTGTCTGTCGTGCATAGCCACGCCCTCGAGTTGTATTCCATAGAGCGCTTCGGGCGGGCTCAGCACCACGTGACGCGCCACCCCATGTGGCTTGCGCCGTGTGACACGGATCGCACGAATGCGCCGTCCGACCAAGTTCCTACCTGCCCACTGCGAAGGAACGTGTTAGTACAAACTTGCTCGCCCGTAGCGTGTCGAGCCGACCCCTAGTGGGCATCTGTGAAAAATATCTTCGTTTCGATTTAAAGCGTTCGTGACTGCAGGGATTCATCTTCTTGGTTCTTTCGGTAAAGTCACGTAGAAGGGAAGTAATAAAATAATACAAATAAAACATGATAAAATAATTCTCACGACGTTTCGGCCACAACGCAAGCAGCCGTCCTCAGGTGAAGACCAGAAACGTCGTGAGAAATATTTTATTATGTTTCATTTTTATTATTTTATTACTTCCCTTCTACGTGACTTTACCGAAAGAACCAAGAAGAGAAATATCTTCGTTGTTCATCGGATTCCTACAGTCTAAATAATGACTTGGATTGTGTCTACTATAGACCACCTATGTTGAGACTGTAGACAAGACTAGATCTGTTCAATGTTACTGTGCTGAATGGGCCACACACTGCTGATGGGGGCCAAGTGCGTAGAAACCGGTCCAATTTCACGCAACCAGGTGGTGAGAGAGACACGCAAACGCCTAATATACAGCAGCAGGCGTCAGGGTCGGGATCGAGTCCACGACCTCCTGCATACCAGGCGAGGTAGTTAACATCTCCTAGCCACCGTGATGACGATGATGATGAGAGAGAGACACGCAAACTCCAAATATACAGCAGCAGGCGTCAGGGTCGGGATCGAGTCCACGACCTCCTGTACACCAGGCGAGGTAGTTAACATCTCCTAGCCACCGTGATGACGATGATGATGAGAGAGAGACACGCAAACTCCAAATATACAGCAGCAGGCGTCAGGGTCGGGATTGAGCCCACGACCTCCTGCATACCAGGCGAGGTAGTTAACATCTCCTCGCCACCGTGATGATGATGAGAGAGACACACATACTCCAAATATACAGCAGCAGGTGTCAGGGTCGGGATCGAGTCCACGACCTCCTGCATACCATGTGATGTAGTTAACATCTCCTAGCCACCGTGATGATGATGAGAGAGAGAGACACGCAAACTCCAAATATACAGCAGCAGGCGTCAGGGTCGGGATTGAGCCCACGACCACCTGCATACCAGGCGAGGTAGCTAACATCTCCTAGCCACCGTGATGATGATGAGAGAGAGAGACACGCAAACTCCAAATATACAGCAGCAGGCGTCAGGGTTGGGATCGAACCCACGACCTCTTGCATACCAGGCGAGGTAGTTAACATCTCCTAGCCACCGTGGTGATGATGATGATGAGAGAGAGACACGCAAACTCCAAATATACAGTAGCAGGCGTCAGGGTCGGGATTGAGCCCACGACCTCCTGCATACCAGGCGAGGTAGTTAACATCTCCTAGCCACCGTGATGATGATGAGAGAGAGAGACACGCAAACTCCAAGTATACAGCAGCAGGCGTCAGGGTCGGGATTGAGCCCACGACCTCCTGCATACCAGGCGAGGTAGTTAACATCTCCTAGCCACCGTGATGATGATGATGATGAGAGAGAGACACGCAAACTCCAAGTATACAGCAGCAGGCGTCAGGGTCGGGATCGAACCCGCGACCTCTTGCATACCAGGCGAGGTAGTTAACATCTCCTAGCCACCGTGATGACGATGATGATGAGAGAGAGACACGCAAACTCCAAATATACAGCAGCAGGCGTCAGGGTCGGGATCGAGCCCACGACCTCCTGCATACCAGGCGAGGTAGTTAACATCTCCTAGCCACCGTGATGACGATGATGAGAGAGAGAGACACGCAAACTCCAAGTATACAGCAGCAGGCGTCAGGGTCGGGATCGAGCCCACGACCTCCTGCATACCAGGCGAGGTAGTTAACATCTCCTAGCCACCGTGATGACGATGATGAGAGAGAGAGACACGCAAACTCCAAGTATACAGCAGCAGGTGTCAGGGTCGGGATCGAGCCCACGACCTCCTGCATACCAGGCGAGGTAGTTAACATCTCCTAGCCACCGTGGTGCCCAGTCTCACACAATCCGGATAAGACCGGGGAAAAATGACAAAGCCCCCAAGAAACATCACACACACCCTTCACTGACCACGTGACATATTCACTTTGGTGTCATTTTAAAAACAATTCTAACGCTCCATGGTGGCGAGATGTTAACTCCTTCGCCTGGACGACCTCACCCGGACGGTCTCCCACTGTCGGGGGAGTTTAAACAAAGCATTTTAAAAATAATAACTTTTAAACATTTCAACTGTGCGCGTGTGCTCCATCCCACGGGAGCAGTGGGCGTACCATCTTTATGTCGCTGTGCAACTTCAGGAATGTCCGTCTTGCTTTGTTCCTTGATATTTTCTGAAACGTAAAACACGGGGTATCATATGCAGTAGTCCGGTGAATAGGGAACGTTGGGAGAACGTTGAGCCCACGTTGGGCGAACGTTGAGCTCACGTTGGGGCCAACGTTGAGCTTACGTTGGGCGAACGTTGAGCTCACGTTGGGGCGAACGTTGAGCTCACGTTGGGGCGAACGTTGAGCTCACGTTGGGAGAACGTTGAGCCCACGTTGGGCCAACGTTGAGCTCACGTTGGGGCGAACGTTGAGCTCACGTTGGGGCGAACGTTGAGCTCACGTTGGGGCGAACGTTGAGCTCACGTTGGGGCGAACGTTGAGCTCACGTTGGGGCGAACGTTGAGCTCACGTTGGGGCCAACGTTGAGCTCACGTTGGGGCCAACGTTGCACGTTTCACCGGAAGCTCATTGATGCCGCCGATAGGGCTGCTCAGCTGCGGAGCGAGCGGCTCACAGTCGGAAGGCCGTGGAGTTTAAATCCCGGTTGATGGTTGACTCAGCCCAATATCCCTCCCTCCCCCCTCCCCCCTCCACTGGCTCTTGCAACTGTAGGAGATGAGGAGACGAGCATTGAAGCATTGGTGCTCATTCGAACAGGAGATCACTCTTGAGCCCATTTAACTATTATCAGGGTACGGCACCTCTTCGACGCCCGCGGGGAATTTTACGATGCTCGTGCGATCCACCAAACCTTGCTGCTTCCACGGTGCCGGACCACAGGCCGCATGCAGCGGAGTCACCACTGCCCGGCTTAACATTTTTTGTACGTTTATTTATTTATTTATTTGCCAGGTAAAGCCTATTTTGGCTGTATAGCTCTTATTCAGAAGTGGCGTGGCCACAAATGATAGCTCAACAAAGTGATTTATCGCGTGGAGAAAGTTCCACGCAACCATGGGGAGAGATACATGCAAACTCCATATACACAGGTGTCGGGATCGAACCCATGACCTCCTACATACCAGGCGAGGTGGTCAACATCTCTTCGCCGTCAGGCTTATCGGCAACCAAGATTGCTTTGGTGCCGGTGTCGGCCCAGTTAGCCCTTGACGCTAACCCAGTTCGCGAACCGCGCCGGATCGACCCTCGGCTTTACCGGCCGACCCTCGGCTTCACCGACAGACCCTCGGTTTCACCGACAGACCCTCGGTTTCACCGACAGACCCTCGGTTTCACCGACAGACCCTCGGTTTCACCGACAGACCCTCGGTTTCACCGACAGGACCCTCGGTTTCACCGACAGACCCTCGGTTTCACCGACAGACCCTCGGTTTCACCGACAGACCCTCGGTTTCACCGACAGACCCTCGGCTTCACCGACAGACCCTCGGTTTCACCGACAGACCCTCGGTTTCACCGACAGACCCTCGGTTTCACCGACAGACCCTCGGTTTCACCGACAGACCCTCGGTTTCACCGACAGACCCTCGGTTTCACCGACAGACCCTCGGCTTCACCGACAGACCCTCGGTTTCACCGACAGACCCTCGGTTTCACCGACAGACCCTCGGTTTCACCGACAGACCCTCGGTTTCACCGACAGACCCTCGGTTTCACCGACAGACCCTCGGCTTCACAGATCGACCCTTGGCTTCACCGACCGACCCTCGGTTTCACCTGGCGCATGGCGGAGAAGGCAGCCTGCTGCTGCATCTGCCACTCGACGCTGGGGGCGAAGCCGCGTGGAGCTGGCAGACAACCGCACGGCTGGAACGACAGAATCAGAATAATATTGATTTAGACTGGAGGGTAAGAACACGTTCAGAGTGGAGAGGCAAACAAAGCAATCAAAAACATACGAAAAAACTGAACCAGCCCCATCCTACCAGACACGACCATCGCGATGCCACCTTCACCAATACCGGCCTCTTCCACCCGCACAGTCGAGCCAGCGTAGGGCTCTCACGGTCTGGGCGGCTTTTTTTCTTCCATTGGCTGCATATTCTCAGATCGACATCATGTACATACGTTAGGTATGTTAACTGCGAATAACCCAACCAATAATCAGCTACTGCATATTCTCAGGTGAACGTGATCCATTGTAACTTATAGGACTACATTAACCCTCCCTTTGGCCTTCGCAGCTGATAGGCTCACAGTGATGAGGTCACCTGTACTCCTCTATTTGAGACCGGAAACGGGAGGACGACTTCGTCACTCTTCTGGCTATCACCTGACGAAGCTGGTTGTTGTTGTTGTCATCACAAGCAACACGTCACAGTACTCGAATTGAAAATGTTCTGGGTTCACCTGCCAACACACCGGTGTGCTGAAGTAGTAGCTAATTGGCACATGACAAACCTTACTACGGGATCCAACCCAAAAACACCCGTTATTATGGAATTCCACTGGCTGTTTTTCGAGCAGAGCCAGAACAAAAGCGTTTATACGCTATACTCTTACGTTTTTTCGGCAAAGCCATGTAGGGGAAATAAATAAATAATGCGGATAAAATTAAACAACTAAATTAAATCACGACGTTTTGGAGGCAACACAAGTCTCCGTCTTCAGGTGGGACCGTCACAGCCAAATTTACTGTATCAAGGGAAGAGAAATCCAAGAGACAAGATCTTATATACGCTGGCCGCAAAACACATCTGAATTTGTCTCTGGAGCCAAGCAGGGCCAGGGGCGGGGCTGACGAGACATTCATTGTGTGTCACGTCGGTGGGTACACGGGGTGAGGACACCGCGTCAAGAACAACGATCCTCCAGTATAGCCTGAACAGACTGTAGGGGCAAGTGCTGTTTAGAGAGCACTTATGAAGGCCGACACGACACACGAGGGGGTGGGTGGCCAACACCGTGCCGGGCCGCCGAGTGGCAATGTTTACACACCGCACTAGGTATTGATTTGAGGCTGAGTCGACCTAGGGGAGGCCCAGGACCAGTACAGATAATCATCACTGGTGTTGGCCGTGAGCGGGAATTGAACTCGGGTTGCCAGGTTCGTAGCGCAGCGCTAACCACGGCACTACCGCTCCCCAAATGCGTTTCGTCTCGAAACGCGTGTGCGTGTGATGTCAGTGGAAAAACACGGAACATCTTGAGCCGTGCCGGGCCGGCTTGGCACGGCTCAGTTGTGGCAGTGGAAAAGAGATCGAACGTAACGCCAATGTTTTCCAGGACCATTATTCAACCGGTTTTTATTTTCTGAATAAATCAGAATCAGAATATTTATTTATACTGGAGGAATCCGATGAGCTATGAAGCTCTTTTCACAGATGCCCTGTAGGGGCATGGGGTCAGAAGGTCACAAAAAACAAACACTACAAAAAACACAAGAGGAGTGCAAAGTACAGAAAAGGTAAAATAAAATCGCAAAAAAATATACAAATAAAACCAAATTATCTTTTAACGTACCAGGTAAAGTCCACGGAGCTATTCACGTATTTGTCAGACGCGACCTGGCCACAACCGATGGCTCAACAAAGTGGCTGATAATTTGAAAATGTACAGCAGCAAAAATAAATCTAAATGCACGAATATCATCAGCAGAGTGTGGCCAATCGAACGCAGTGCCGCGTTGCTCTCCGCTCAATGCGGCCCCCATGGTGTTTGTGGACTTCTCCCTCCAATAACGTCAGGTTTTTAGTTAGCCAGCTGCACTGCTGTTGACGATCAGAAATTTGAACACCGGTTCACATTTATAGCCCGCTCAAAAGAAATGTTTCACAAATGCAGGTTAAGAGAACCCACAATCATTCATTCGTCACTGTTGCGCCAAACGTGTGGACCTCTTGCGACAGCATTCGCTAAAACTGCTCTCGCTGCCATACAGCGGCGTCTCGAGTGACTTTGTTTGATCCACGGATCGCAGCGGGGGGGTGACCACGGGGAGGGTGGTGCCATTCCCTTGAGGGTCGCAGTCCACTTTGGACGTCGACCGCCAACTGAAAGTGCGCGATTTGATTGCCGACACATTGACTGCTGGTACCAAGTGAGTGAGAGGCTTGCACAGAGGGGCACGTCTACAATAGGGGCTGCTAGCCAGGGGTCAAGACTAACGATGGGGTGAGGGTGAAGAGAGGGAACACGCGGACGGTGAGAGCATGGGTGGAAAAAAACCCGATTTTTCCAGCGTCAGGCATCGGGTTTTTTCTTTAAATACAATTAAACCCGATTTCGGGGTATTAAAAACCTGGTTTAATGAATACGAAATTCTATCCAGGCTATGGCTGGCTTCCTTGTCGGGTGCTGCTATCGTACTCGGGGGGGGGGGGGGGGGGGGGGGGGGGGGGGGGGGTGGGGGGGGGGGGGGGGGGGGGGGGGGGGGGGAGGGGGGGGGGGGGGGGGGGGGGGGGGGAAGGCGTCGGGCACGGGGTAGTCGTAGAATGCGGCGGGCAGGTTGGTCGTGATGAACACGTTTTTTGGTTTGGCCATGTTTGTTTTGTTGTAGTACAGAGTTTGGCTGATGGCCTTAATCTAAGTTGTCTTGTGGTTGTTGTTGTTTGAACTTGCATCCCACTGGGATATTTGCACAGGGTTGGTGTACGGTGATTTTTTATGCAATATTTTGCTGTCTTTTCTTGGATTTCTGTTTGCACTCAGTCACATAGTCACTATAAGATGTTTTCTTGTTCATGTTTTAGTTTTTTGTTTGTTGCGGTTGCACCCGATTCAAGAGCCGAATGGCTCACAGGGCTATACCTAATAAATAAACTTTGATAAACTTTGACTTTTATAACACGAGCTTCACAATCGTGGGTGCCAGTGAGTTCCTTCGCTTGGAATGGATGAAGCCCATCGTTGAGAAGTGCGGTTCTGCAATTAAAACCAATTAAACCGGATTTCTCCCAATCTCAGATGATCGGGTTTAATATGAAAAGACAATTAAACCCGATTGTTAAAACCCCGACCGTGCCACCCTTGGGTGAGGCCAGCTCGCATGCAGGAGCTCCACACGTTTGGCCTTAATCCAGCAGCGGATAGATCATGGCTGCTGCTGATATTGATGATGATGGGTACAGTGCCTGGTTAGAAAAAACTGGATACGTACAAGATAATTTTTACCAAAAAAAATTCTTAAAATAAAAACACAAGACCCCCTGAAATAAGTAATATTAAAAAAAACTTTTTAAAAAAACACGCGTTTATGAAATGTACTCATAATGGAAGAACTCCAGGACTCCAGGAAGTGGCCCCGAAGTTTGCTGTAACGTAAGGGACCGTGGCCAATTACAGCCAACGTCAGTTGAGTGTGGACAATTAGACCCAAGCCGAAACATAACGTATAAAAAAAGATTGTTTAAAAATATTTATTTTTTATCATAGAATATAGTATTGTCATCAGTATGACATAAGTATACCAAGTTTGCAGTCGATATCACATTGGGAAGTGGGTTAAAATTGAGTTACAAGATTTGAGGATACAACAACAACAACAGAGTTAAATGAAAGCGTGTAAAAAGAGGTGCTGACAACTCAGCGTGGTTCCTCTGCTGGATGGATACAAAGATAAATGCACGACTCACATTCGATACTTTCACCGGTTGCTTCTGCTTGAGTTTTTCTGGGTCAATGTTGGCCACGGCAACTTCGGGGCATCTGGCAGCTTCGAGCCTGAGCAGAGACAAGGCACATTAAGCAATAACGGTGACGGTGAGATGGCTGACTAGGGATGCCGCGGTGGAGAGATGTTAACTCCCTAGCCTGGTATACAGAAAGGCGTGGGTTCGAACCCGACCCTGATTGCCTGCTGTGTATTTGGAGTTTGCGTGTCTCTCTTTACCCGTGGTCGCGTGAATTTCTCTCCGGGACCTCCGGTTTCCCCCCCTCCACATTAGAATCAACATCACGCGTTTAGAGAATTTGACTGGTGTAAATTCCATCACGATAAGCCACTTCGTTGAGCTATCATTTGTGGCCAGGTTGCTTCTGCAAAAGAGCAGCGTAAACTCAGTGGGCCTTACTTGGTAAAATTTAACCCATAAAAACAAAGTTTTTCACTATAAATCCTTTATATGCGTGGCAGCTAGAGTCCTCTTGTCCTCTGGCTTGAGATGGCTGCCACCTATGGGTCAGATAATTGCCTGCCACCATTAAGCAATTGGTAATTAAATATAAAAAATGTTTTACCTAAAAAGTGTACAATTTTGGAATTTTTTTCACGAAAATAAATTGTCACGCACAACGAGTCTGTGTGCAAAATGTCAGCTCGATTGATCACGGGAAGTGGGTTAAAAAACGACCGAAAGATTTGCACGGTCGTAAGCGCGCAAGCAAGCAAGTGAACTTAATATAAAGGATTTAAAAAATAAATATAGTTTTAGTTTTAGTTTTTTTAAACACACCTGCGTATTAACGCTGCTTTGCAATTAACAGCAAGGGTGAGCGTGGTTGTAGTGTTTGGGATGGTAGACTTCTGGGAATACCATGGGATTGTAGTGTTTGGGATGGAAGACTTCCTGAAATACCATGGGATTGTAGTGTTTGGGATGGAATACTTCCTGGGAATACCATGGGATTGTAGTGTTTGGGATGGTATACTTCCTGGGAATACCATGGTATTGTAGTGTTTGGGATGGAAGACTTCCTGGAAATACCATGGGATTGTAGTGTTTGGGATGGAATACTTCCTGGGAATACCATGGCATTGTAGTGTTTGGGATGGCCTGGGAATACCATGGGATTGTAGTGTTTGGGATGGAATACTTCCTGGGAATACCATGGCATTGTAGTGTTTGGGATGGCAGACTTCCTGGGAATACCATGGGACTGTAGTGCTTGGGATGGCAGACTTCCTGGGAATACCATGGGATTGTAGTGTTTGGGATGGCAGACTTCCTGGGAATACCATGGGATTGTAGTGCTTGGGATGGCAGACTTCCTGGGAATACCATGGGATTGTAGTGTTTGGGATGGAATACTTCCTGGGAAAACCATGGATTGTAGTGTTTGGGATGGTAGACTTCCTGGGAATACCATGGGATTGTAGTGCTTGGGATGGCAGACTTCCTGGGAATACCATGGGACTGTAGTGTTTGGGATGGCAGACTTCCTGGGAATACCATGGGATTGTAGTGTTTGGGATGGAAGACTTCCTGGGATTACCATGGGATTGTAGTGTTTGGGATGGTAGACTTCCTGGGAATACCATGGGATTGTAGTGTTTGGGATGGAAGACATCCTGGGAATACCATGGGATTGTAGTGTTTGGGATGGAAGACTTCCTGGGAATACCATGAGATTGAAGTGTTTGGGATGGCAGACTACCTGAGAATACCATGGGATTGTAGTGTTTGGGATGGCAGACTTCCTGGGAATACCATGGGATTGTAGTGTTTGGGATGGAAGACTTCCTGGGAATACCATGGGATTGTAGTGTTTGGGATGGAAGACTTCCTGGGAATACCATGGGATTGTAGTGTTTGGGATGGTAGACTTCCTGAGAATACCATGGGATTGTAGTGCTTGGGATGGTAGACTTCCTGGGAATACCATGGGATTGAAGTGTTTGGGATGGAAGACTTCCTGCGAATACCATGGGATTGTAGTGTTTGGGATGGCAGACTTCCTGGGAATACCATGGGATTGTAGTGTTTGGGATGGCAGGCATTCCTGCGAATACCATGGGATTGTAGTGTTTGGGATGGAATACTTCCTGGGAATACCATGGGATTGTAGTGTTTGGGTTGGTAGACTTTCTGGGAATACCATGGGATTGTAGTGCTTGGGATGGAATACTTCCTGGGAATACCATGGGATTGTAGTGTTTGGGTTGGTAGACTTTCTGGGAATACCATGGGATTGTAGTGCTTGGGATGGAATACTTCCTGGGAATACCATGGGATTGTAGTGTTTGGGTTGGTAGACTTTCTGGGAATACCATGGGATTGTAGTGTTTGGGATGGAAGACTTCCTGGGAATACCATGGGATTGTAGTGCTTGGGCTGTGACGTGTGACCAGGAGATGGCAGTTACAGCGATTGATTCCTTAATCTATCTGTGCGGATCTTTGAGTACCGCCACCACCTTCTATGCATTTCTGCATTTGAACTTCTTTCGCACCGTACGGAGCCAATAGTGTTAATCGGAGGTGCGGGGGAAGGACAACAGATGACACACAAAAATCAGTTTTAAAAGCAATGAGTTTGTCGATCTAGCTCAGCGGTCGGGAACCTATGGCTCGCGAGCCATATATGGCTCTTCCGGTGACGGCATATGGGCTCCCAGACAATTTTGAGTTGAAAAAAATAATAAGAAAAAAATAAAATCAGTTTGGAACTGATTTTAAAATACTTGTGATATTGCTTAATAATACTGTGCCATTTTAAAGTAAACAGAAATTAGTTTTGAAGATACAATTTCTCGGGTCACGGGTCCCGTGACCAGAAATCGCATTAAAAGTAAGACATATTTAATTTATTATACGTTAAAATTACTATATGGCTCTCAATGAAAGATATTTAGAAATATTTGGCTTTTATGGCTCTCCCAGTCAAAAAGGTTCCCGAACCCTGGTCTAGATGATGATGTAAAATAGCTTCAGGGGCATCCTAATACTGTATTGTAAGGAAGAGCGTTCCAGACGTTATGTAAACGATGTTCATGTTGATTGTGTCAATGAGGATGTTGATGTTCATGCTGATGTTGTTAATTTTTTGATGTTTATGGTGTCTATGATGATGTTAATGGTGATGATGTTGGTGACGGTGATGATGTTAATGGTGATGATGGTGATGATGTTGATGATAATGATGTTGATGATGATGTTGATGGTGATGATGATAATGATGTTAATGATGATGTTGATGATGTTGATGATAATGGTGATGATGTTGATATGAATGATGATGTTGATGATGTTGATATGAACGGTGATGATGATGTTGATGTCCCTACCGGACCCGATTCAGATACTCTGCCGGCGTTACTGGCGGTCCGCTCGCCGCCGCCTCCTCCTCCTCCCCTCCTCCGCTCTCCTCCACAGGCAACAGCTGCGGCATTAACACAAAGTCGTCCTCCATCATCTCCCCCTGTGTTCAACAAGCTTCCACCTTTAAAAACAATAAACATTAACGCAATAAACACGAAGACGGGTAACAACCACTACTACCACGTCCACATGTGGATAAAACGCGCAGGCCCAATTGGTGCGTAGCCATCCAGAAATGCACCGCAACGTACGCTTCACTCTATGGCGATTCACGTTTGATTTACACGATGCATGCTCGATAGGCCACCAACCCCAAGATATACGCCCACCACGGGGAGAATCAGCCAATGGGAGGCGCGCTGTCGGTTTGAAACGGCGATTGTGATTGGAGGGTTCAGCTGGGGCATGGCCACGTGCGCGAGAGGCCGGGAATTGTAAGCACGTGGTTGGGTGAGTGCGTCAGTGTTGTCGTGGGTTGAGTGAACTGTGACATTTCGATTAAAGCTTTCGTGACTGCGGTGATGCATATTCTTGGTTCTTCGGTAAAGTCACGTGGAAGGGAAATAATAAAAATAAGAACAATACATCATCAGGTGTGAAAACCACAGCAAGAACATTTGAAAAAACCGCCACTTTTTTCAATAAAGATTCTGATTCTGAACAGATGGAAGCCCCCATTTTTGCTGTAACGCCTTCTCGTGGCGAGCCAGGGTATGACAGCCTTCTGGACGCCCACGGGAAAGGAGTTTGACAACACGTGCGTGATCCAGCAACCCTGGAGGCGTCAACAGCGCTGTGTATACTGGTAGGAGCCTCCTGGTTACACCAGCCCACAGGGGATTATTGTGTCCGTCGTGCAGGGGGGGGGGCTGGGTGGGGAGGGAGGGGCTGGGTGGGGAGGGGCTGGGTGGGGAGGGTGGGGGCTGGGTGGGGCGGGTGGGGAGGGGCTGGGTGGTGAGGGTGGGGCTGGGTGGGAGGGGAGGGTGGGGAGGGGCTGGGTGGGGAAGGTGAGGCTGGGTGGGGGGTGGGAGGGGTGGGGCTGGGGTGGGGAGGGGCTGGTCACCCCGTGGTGCCCTTATAAAACTCAACGTTAACCTACTCACGCCGGCTTGTGCCCGCCCTCACAGTCGAGCATATTTGCGGAATACACCACGCCGCCGTTGACCCTGGTCATTGACCGAGCAACCCAACGTTCCTACCAGCTCCCTCCGCAGGAATGTGTTAGGCCATGTGCGTAGCCACCATCATTCAGCTAATTGATGACTCAGTGTTTCATGTTTGCTATTCTGGGAATCATGCCGGCACCCCACATCCATCCATCTCGCCTTATTTTAACCTGACTTGAACCCGTTTATAGGAGTATAGGACACAATAACCACTGTATAGGAGTATGTATCACAGCGCACTCTAGTGGTAGTGCCTTACGCCGATAATCCATACTCCAAGCCAGCCCAACAGCCTCCTAGAATGTTTTTTTTTTAAATCGAGAAGACACCCTGGATATGCTGCAGCAAGTTAAAATATTTCTAAGTGCATCTATGAACTATAATTCATAGATGAACTATAGTTCATAGATGTGGTTATTTATTTTTATTGCTCGTAAATATTGTGCAAATGGTAGTTTAAATGTATTCCGCGCATGGGATAGCACACGCGATAAAATATATTAAAAATGTCTCCAAGTAACTTTCAGCACGTGGGGATTTTGGCCATACTTCACCCCGTTGGTCGGTGTGAGTGGAATGGGGAGAAGGGTTGAGGCAGGGGTCGGCCAAGACATCGCCTGCCACCGACGCTACACGTGGCCGCCCACACATCTGTTTAAAAGAGCTTCATAGCGCATCGGATTCCTCCACTCTCATGAGTATGACTCTGAGCTCCTGCGCCACGGCTCCCCTGTCGTCACGTACCCCCTGGACATTCCTACGTGCCCCCGGTTGATAACCACTGGTGTAAGAGATCCTCTCTGTAGGGTATTTAGCGTAAAAATCTATACGCTGGTCAAACTATTTTGAAAGAGGTACCCATACTTTTCCCCATCACCACCACCACCACGCGCGACCCACCGATGTGTATCCATTTATGCCGCTGGGTGGGTGGAAGCGGTCACGTTCGCTCATATTTATTTGATGGTAACCTACGAAGACAAGAGGAACACAACTGCGGTTCTTTAGGAACTGTTGATGAGTTATTTTTGTTTTCAATCATCCACAAAGGCTGATGAGTACGATGCCATTTTACACGCTATTAACTCACTCTGTCTGTTGTTGTTGTCGTATCCTCAAATCTTGTAACTCAATTTTAACCCACTTCCCAATGTGACATCGACTGCAAACTTGGTATACTGATGTCATACTGATGACAATACTGTATTTTATATAAAAAAAAGTATTTTTAAAACATTATTTTTTACATGTTATGTTTCGGCTTGGGTCTAATTGTCCACGCTCAACTCACGTTGGCTGTAGATCACCACGGTCTCTTATGTTGTGGCAAGCTTCGGGGCCACTTCCTAGAGTCGTGGAGTTCTGCCATTACTCGTACGGTACATTTAATTAAAGCGTGTTTTTTAAAAAGTATTTTAAAATGTTACTTATTTGTACACGATTCTGGGGGAGGGGTTGAAGAATCCTGGCCATTGTTTTCACTGCTGCGCCGGGAGGTCGAACCAACGAGCTCTGCAGGTCCAGAGTGACAACCATTGCACAGCGGTAGCAGCAACAACAACATCCATTCGCCACTAAGTGGCGGTGACGTCACCACGACGCTTGTGCCAGGCCATGTGCACCTTGAGGCCACGTGAAATGTCGAACGCCCGCTGGCAGGAGGTCACGGGGCAGACCCAGGTGCCACGGGACGACTGACTGAGATGACCGAGATGACTGGCTGATTGCACCACCTGTGCCCCTACTTTGCCAACTTGCTGTGCTTTATCCACCCGGCGCTCCGCTCGTTGTTGTGAGCGTCGCTCCTCCGCCCTCCGTTGTTGTTGGAGTGCGACTGCCTCCAACTGCCCAGTAGCGTCCTTCACGAGCCTCCTCCACAGACGCCGATCTTGACACCGCTGGTACCGGTCATCGGCAAGTCCACTCAGCTCCACATCCTCCTGTACCACATCAGCGGTAGCACACCCTTACATACACACACACACAGACACAGTAATGTGAAGTTGAATTGAATTAATCACTAAATTGTTTTTCTTGTTCAAACGGAAGGAAATATTTCGGCATTTCTATCTCGATGTATGCAGGCAGCCGAGGAGACATATATCCACTCTTTCCTTCCCCCTCCAGCAAAACACAACAGCAGCAGCAGCGGGTATTATTACGATTGTATTCACTGGGTCACAACTCTCTGTGTGCATCAGCTCCACTCCCCTGGATTATTTTAACAAAGTCAAGGAAGGGTCAGACGCCAGTTAAGCGAAACCACGGCTGGATCCCGAATCACAGGGGCCAAACAGCCCATGTTGAAATTGGCACCAAAAGTATTTTTTAGGTTACAGCCCAAATTCTATTTCCCCTAATCACCACAGCATGTGGACCCTTTTAATAAAAAAAACTGTATTCTGTATATATACAGGTTAAAGGTGCAGCCCTGCAATTGCTTGCTTATACCACTTCTGGTAGAAAGGCATCTCTGCTAAGATGGAGCTGCACGGGTGAGAACCTTCAGAGTGTGTATTTGGCCTACTCTTCCTTTCTGGGCCAGACGTGTCGAAAGAGGTGAGAATGCACACACTTTATCCCACCACAAACGAACTTTCCGCTCGACTGCCTGCCTGTGGTGAACACATTGACGCTGCAGAAGCAGTGGGAGGGGAGGAGGGTGATTTAAGCAACTTGTACCATTGGTCATTCAACTACCGCGCTAGGATGTAGAGTTGATCCGGCGAAGTTGTGGAGCGTTAGAATTGTTTTAAAAATGACACCAAAGTGAAGGTGTCGTGTGGTCAGTGAAGGGTGTGTGTGGTGTTTATTTGGGGACTTTATAATTTTGCCCCGGTCTTATCCGGTTTGTGCTATCGGCGGTTTGTCATGAAACTGGGCACCACGGTGGCTATGAGATGTCAACTACCTCGCCTGGTATGTATATGCGTGGCGGCTAGAGTCCTCTCGTCCTCTGGCTTGAGATGGCTGCCACCTATGGGTCAGATGATTGTCTGCCAGTATTAAGCAATTGGTAATTAAATATTTAATGTTTTCCCTAAACAGTGTAAATTTTTGGAAATTTATTTTCACGAACATCAATTGTCTCGCACAACGAGTCTGTCTGCAAAATGTCAGCTCGATCGGATCACGGGAAGTGGGTTAAAAAACGACCGAAAGATTTGCACGGTCGTAAGCAAGCAAGCACGCAAGCAAGCAGGCGAACTTAATATAAAGGATTTAAAAATAGCTAAATAGCGCAGCGGGCCTTACCTGGTAGATTAAAAATAGTAAAATAAAAAACATAGACTTTCACAAAACAGGTGAACTCGCTATGAAAGTCACTTGCGCGTGGAAGTGAACATCACAGAACTGCCTCTGAGTCCACACGAGTAGGGGGCAGAGCGCTGTCCTTCCCATGAAAGTCAATTCGATATTTATTATTCTATGAGCTTGTAATTCTCAGAGCTCAAAGCGCAGACCCATATTTAAGGTGTCTATTGTGTGTGTTAGTCGTTGGTGAACGGGCTGAGGCTATGGGTCTTTATGTGACTCTGACGGTATTTTTTTATCAGTCAATGATGACTGGACAGAAACCATAATCTCACTGCACTTGAGAACCCAGTTGATTCACAACTCAGTCTTGGAGTCTGTGGGTCCCTATATGAATTAATGAGTTTCTGTGTAAGGCTGTGGATCCTGAAATAACATACGGTTGTGATAATTGTGTTTTTTTGTGTTTGTGCCGTTTGTTTTCCTGCCAATGATCTATTGATTATTATTTTTTTCGTGAGGGGTTTAACTTGCTGCTATATAATTAGTGCACAGCGTAGTGGGATGTAATTAGCATGAATGACGCGACATAAAATTAAATTAGTATTATCATGGTTATGATACGTCACTTCATTTATTTGAACTCATTTTTTGTGTTCAGTTTGTTGTCTTTCCCCCGCACCTCCGATTAGAAAGGTTGGCTACGTACGGTGCGAAAGAAGTTCAACACACACACATGCACACAGTACACGTCTCTGCGTGAGTCAATGATGAGCGGGTCGAGACCATCAAAGCCCCAGGCCTGTGAACCAGAGGTCGCA